ATTTATCTTTGATTTATTGTATTGAAATTAGATCCCTGACTGTATGATTTATCTTTGATATGAGAAGAGTGATGGATTACCTAAAAATGTACGCCTGGCGCCACATTAACTTTGTCATAGATTTTATTTTCAAGGGTTGGTTTGCAGGGATTCGGCTGACCTCAAAATTGATCACAAAATGACTTCATCTGGGGAACTGCACAGCTATTTCGTCCTTGTTTGGTACCCTTCATAAGTACGCACCCGAACAAGGATAATCACGTTCGGGACCTTCATGTTACACGGTGAGCTTGTTGACTATTCAAGTGTTATAACCGTAATAGGCTTCTACAATTGTTAGATTCTCGTCACCGACCAACATCAGTTAGAGAGACCGTTGAAAACCGGGGAGTTCTGTACAGTCAGCTGTTTTGTCCTGTACTGGAACTCTTCATCTGACGTTGGTTCCTGAAGCTGCTGTAGGAAATCGTGCCCATTGGGGTCTACCATGTCAAGCTGAAGTGGACGATTATCGAAAGCACTGTATCACGACTTGACAGAGTTAGAACTGAAGGGTTATTGAATTCCAGCCCAACTGGCTGAGTGGTCAACGAGCTTGGTCTCGTAACCTGAAGGTTCAAGGTTCTATCCCTAGTGGGATCCGCATGCTAAAGAGTTCTAGAATAGGACAAATCAGCTATCCAGTGTCCCTGGTTTCCGATGATCTCTGTGACTGATGTTGGTTCGTGACGGAAATTTAACAACTGCAATTAATCCAGAATTCCCATAAATCCTATAATCTGGACATAGACTTCTACCGATAAGTCTGTATTCCACTTAAAGTACGAATAGGATCTAAGAATACGCTAAATGGATGAATGTTCCAAACAGAAATGGGTTCGTTTTAGAATGGGGATTTAAGCTTTCAGACTTCAGTACAATAAATGATGGAAAAATATGCACATGAAGACCGACGGATGATTAAGGTGTATCGATCCAACGTCTTCATCTAAGCATTAAATTGTAGCGAATCGTTATGCCCCCAACATTTTACCAAATGTTTCAAAGCATTCAACGTGTATTAGTGTTGAATGACAATAGCTATGTATCCATCATGGTAGCATTATTATTATTATATTGTTTTTATTCCCTTGGGTTCCAATTGGAAAATAGGGCTTCAACAACACATCTCCACTTCGACAGATTTTCCACTGTCTTCTTCAGCTGCCTGACCCCACGATTGACCGTATTCTCTTATCTTCTCCTCATACGATCTCCTCCATGACGACACACTCAGCGTTTTCCATTAGAATTCCACTCGAGTGAAGGCCTGCATTGAGCACTATGTCATTCGCTGGCCACCTCAACGTATGCCCATTCCATCTCAACTTTCTCCTACATATTTGCTGAGCATACCGCTCGTGGTTGATTTGTTGTGCTGAAGAGCTACTTGTTGCTAATTTTTCTTGGCCGGCCATTTAATCTTCAGTATGAAGCCAGCGAAGGCAGGCAGCTGCTGATAAAGGTTTGTCACTTGTTGGAAATCCTTTAGGTGACATTTGTGTTGAAAATGCGAATCTTGTTCTTTACACTGACTGAGTGTAGAAGATTTCCAAACCGGTTTCAGGTCGATGAAGGCGTATCTTGCCTTTGCGATTCTTCCTAGCTTTGATACCTTCATCTGTTCCACCAGCCTGTGGTTGAAAGCGTGCTTCCTGGACAGATAAGTGGAGGAAGTAACCTCTGTCAAATCTCTCCCGTTGATGGCGATTGGTGCTGGTTATCTTCATCACCTCCATCTTCTCTATGTCCACCTGGAGTCCTGTCTTCGCTGCCAGCCACTTCAGGCAGTTTGTTGCTTTTCGCCTGTAAGTCTTCAAGTCTGCGTGACACTAAACATAAATCATCCACACGCGAAATTCAGAACTTCTTATCGGTTCAACGTATTCCTGCCTTCTCACTCCCCACAGTCCAACGCATAATCCAGTCCACCACAATTAAGAATATCATCGGTGATAATAGGCAGTCTTCTCTTACTTCTGTATTTACGTAGAATGCCTAGCTGAGTTTTCCGTTGTGGATCACCTGATACGTGGCACTGTCAGCTGTTGAATGAGGTTGATAAACGCATGGGCAGTGCACACCATTGTGTTGAAGCAGTTTCAAATTACTTCTCAGTCAACACTGTCTGTCAAAGGCCTTTTCGAAGTCGACAAAGTTATGGTAGAGGTTTGACTGCCATTCTATGCTTTGTTCGATGACGATGCGCACAGGACATGTGTCATAGATCACTTCTAATCATCTTTACAATGAGAGCATTCAATAAGAACCCTCACTTAATTATTATGTGTTTAACGCACGTATGAAAATCTTCAACGTTATTAAGCTTGATGAAGTAGAAATATTTTTCCCCTTAAAAATTAAGCAAATTAAATAAGTAATATGTGATGACATGAGTCCTTCATGGAATTGATTAAAAACAGTTCTGATTTAAGAGTAGAATTTGAGCAATGTGATAAAACAAAATTCCACACTAATTAAGTTTACTTGACATAAAAAAACACAGTGGGTGGAAAGCATTTTGAGCACAATTTATTACTGCTCATAATCATGCCAATCTAGTCACAGGACCTCCTAACTGTCTAGGTAGGCAGCCTTAAAACAGGAGGGAGTAAGACTACATACAATAAACAATTCGTGTGAACACATTGTCATGATTATGAACAGTAATCAATTATGCTGTTAACTTCACTTAGTACTTATTAATACTGTATCATTCACTCACTGTTTGTTGTATCAAATAAAATGATCTAATGACTACTAAAACTGCGTCGGTGGTTAATTGGCATATAGAGTTGAAAAGTGTGTAGGCAAAATGATACCTAAGACAAATTGAACACTTCATCTTAAGAATTAACTGATCTAACATTCCCTTTATCTGCAGACTGTTGACGTGTGGCTATACTTAGAAGGTGATTGGGAGTAATCGGATAACTCTATGGTTTGTTTCATCCATAAATCAAAACTACCTAGACGAATATCAAATTAAGACGGAATAGCTATCCACGGAGCTATGAAATAAATTCAGAGTGAGGAGGAACATTTCCCTTTCTTTTCTTCTGAGAAATGTATGTCCATAATTTTCTGATAAATTTCGTTGTTTACTAAGACTACTCACCCATTGACTAATTCTTATCTTGGACTGGAATGCTGGAACTCTTCGACAATATCTGAAGATTAACATGATTTTATTTAGGTTCATGATGACTGGCAGTGGAATCAAGGATGCGATTTCGTTCTAGTTGGGACTCATCCGCAGGATGCACCCGGATCCCCAGTGAGTGATGATGGTGTTCTCACTGAGACTCAAACCATGTACCCAACATCAATGCGTTATCCACTAGGCCACAAGATTGACAGATAGGACGAAATGCGCATCCTGGATTTGTAATTTCTTGGTATCATCACCAACAGTAGTAAGAAATACTTTGCTGTACGAAACCCCATAAACAACCCGGTACGGCTAAGGGTGGCTAGATTCCGGTCTTCTTCTGCGAATCCTTTCATATGGCCATGCATTCATAGCCTCTCTCGGGTAAGTCCTATTCACGAGGAGGTTTTTCACAAAAGTAAAAGGTCGAATCCAAATGCCAGATGCTTAAAACCAGACTAGTGGACATCCTGTTCTACCTATAAGAGTTGGAAAACCCTGACCTAAAACTGATATGTAGGCAGATAAACAATGGATCATCCTTTATCGGTGATTTGGTGATCAAGGTCAGTCTGGAGAACCATAAGAAAACTTGGGAGTACTGGACAGCCGTTTCGCCCTAGTCCGGGACTCTTCGTCAGTATGCGCCCCCCTGAGATTTGAAACCAGGACCTTCCTGTTACAAGGCGAGCTCGTAGACCAGAAGGTCCTGGGTCCGAACCTCGGTGGGTGCGTACTGATGAAGGGTCCTAAACTAGGCTGACGAAACAGCTGTCCAGTACTCCCAGCTGGTTTTCCAATGGTTCTCTAACCGAAGTCAGCTCATCATGAAATCCTGTAAGCAATCAATCAAATCCGTACAAAACCAATACTTGAATGTCAGTCTGAAGATAGTCCAATCAGAATTGTCTTACACAAAATAACGCCCACTATTTTATTGATCATGATTATAGACTGATTGACATATCCTCAATGACTTCTTGAGTCATATATTATTGTGTCAGAAATATACTATGTCTGATACTAAAATAGACTTTTCGGCTCACGTCACTATGTGTTCTCGCCTAAGTAGAGCGGGCTGGAGAATAGGCAGCTGTCGTAGTCAAACAGTATTCGTGATTAGCGCGTCTGTGTTCAACTCAGCGTCACAATTTTCAATCTCAATGTTATTGTGAAATATAAAAGTGGTGTGACATCACAACACAAACCTATGGCGTAAATAAACTCAAGAATACAGACGTATCGAATAGCGTGTGAACCTGTTTTAGTCACCAGAAACCACAAGGACGCAACTCCTGACACTGATCCACTGTCTTGTAGATCAGACTTCAAATCAAAAGTTCAAGGCGGTGGGTTCTCATCCCTTGCAAAAATAACTCTGAGATTTTGTGTGACGCATCTCTTCGTGCGTGACGACAATGTACCACGTCTTAATAATTAATAGCTAACTACGCCAACCGCTACATGGAAAATGGGTAAAGAACCGCTGGGATTCGATTACTGAATAACTCCGTTGATTAGATTATACAGAGCTGAGCTTTTCTTATTCAATTTACACGCTGTACACATACATACACAGGTGTTTACATACACATACATATAGATGTACATATTAATATCGAAGGAGAGTGTAATAGTAGGAAAAGTAATTTATAAAATAAAAAGGAAATTAATATTAAAAACTAAATAAATAAATAAAATAAATTATTAAATAGAAATTATTAAATGAAACATGTAGAGTACTGTAGTACTGTCCCGCCACCCCCACCCCAACCCCATATTGTTGCGATTATGCATTATTACATGGGTTATATATACACACAAGTCGATCTAGCCACTTCCAACAATCGACCATTCAAGAGAAGAAGAAGATAAGCTAAGCAATAATCCATGTTGTGAGCAAAATTATTATACATGTAACGAAAATAAAATGAAAAGGTTAATTTTTTTATTAATAGTAGTATATATTAGACGTAGTATGTGTCGGTGACAAAAATAGCAAAGGAAAAGAGCATTCAAGTCACTAAAGTTGGGAAGAAATAATAAAAATATTAAGGAAAAAACTAATGTGAAACCTCATAAAACCAAAATAAAGTTTTACAAAAATGAGTATACAAAATAATAATAATAATAGTAATAATAATAACAAAAAAGAATACATATTTACTGAAAACAATTGAGCAATTGAATTGTGGTTGTGTAGGACAGACGACAGGCGCGCTGTGATTAAGTATGTATGGAAGGGAATGTAACAAGCGAAGAAACGCCATACTATGTATGCACATATATATACAAGATGATAAATATAAAGAGACTTTACAGGCTAACATACACCTCGGCGAATAATCCCTTTTTTCCTACCTTCCTCCAAGGCCACTTTCCGTTCAATATCAAGTAGAAGTAGATTGTGCCAATTCACTGGATGCATACTTCTTGAATACTCGAATACACCCATTACAATCAGCTGAGACAACAACTTCACCTAAATACATCCATGTTTGTCTATCGGCATTAGAATTCCCGCCTGAGATTGCTAATTGATCTGAGCTCAACTGTCTACGACGATGATGATAATGATGATGACTTTTGAGATTTGCATCAGAATGCTTTGAGGCGATCAAACAGGAATTCTGTGTTCTCTGTTTAAAATAGTGTTTATCCAATACTAGATTTGGGTTGGGACTGAAGACAGCTACAGTGACCATTGTATCATGAGCTTTTATTGCCTCCCAACAATTATTTCTATCTTTACGTACTCGTGAGAAACGTGATACTCTGTCTACATCTAATGATTTTTGCCAGATATAAAAAAAGGCATTCTCTGAACCTGATATTAAATATCGACCAGTTGGACTGTAAAAAAGATAAAATAAATAAAGAAGATAGAGAATACGACCGTTAAATGTATATAATCTGCGTACAGATAAAATAACGAGTAAGCACATCGAAATTAAGTAGTATTAGTGTTATTACTTTGGGTTGCAAGTGGAACATAGGGCTTCAACAGCGCGTCTCCACAACTATCCATAAGCTTTCATCTCCGCCTCACACAATTTCCTGCATGTCACCCTCAGACCCACATCCAACTCGCCAATTCCCATCCGGGTTCCATCTAGTTCACTAACCGGTCAGCCTTAAGTCCGGAAGAAGAGGGAAGGTTGGGCGTCGTACTAGCTATTCTATCTCGGGAAATCAACCCAACTGCTAGAGGTGATTAAACTTCTGTCTTCCTATCAAAATGCCCTCATGTGGCAATGAGTTCATAACCAATCTCTCCAAAACAAGTTTTATTCACTGCTTCCACACGACAGGAGTGTTCCTAACATGAGTGGAAGAGCGAATTCGAACGTCTGGTAGACAAAAACGCGTCTACCTAGGGGAGCTGGAAACCCTGATTCCAAACAACTGGTGTACATAGGCTGCACAATCCGAATGGATTGAATGACCTATGAACCTGTTTTAGTCACCAGACACCACGGGGATGCAATTCCTGACGCCAATCCACCAGCTTGTGGATCAGACTTCAGGTCCAATACTCTGGAAGTAGTCCCTCAAGACCACCACCTGTTTCGGTCTGGGCAGAATCCCAGCCCTTGCAAAAACAATGTGACCTTGTGTGGAGCATCTCTTGGTGCCCGTACTGTACCAAGTAGGTATTTTAATAGATAAAATAATGAATAATATCCAGTAACTGAACAACTGTGTGTTTCTGTTTCGACTGTCCGGAAAGCCACTAGTTTCGCTTTCTAGGCGAGTATCATTGTACACATAAAACCTACCTTCCGTAAATCCAGCCAATCTAGCCAAGTCACTTAAAATAACACTTAACGTACCGCCCCCCCCCCCCAGGCCTCAATACGAAACAGACAGACGCAAATACTTACCTAAAAGATGCACGAATTTGACTAGTTTCATTGACAAATCCCCGATATTTACACAAGGTATGATAATCACGAGCATCGACTAAACGTAGACGTGAATCGTTTGATGTGACCAGAATCTGTACGAAATTACAGGAGAAAAAATATGTTTAGAAGAAAAATCAGTACTGTTATATGTGCCAATGAACAGATTTATTCTACAAAGTACTTTAAAATAATACGGGGGGGGGGGTTGGTGGTGCAGAGATTTGTAGCTCAGATCGGGGATGTGATATAGTTGTGTTTATATTGAAGTGCTGTGACCTGAAGATGTTGTCTAGGAAGACAGTGCAAGCCGCCATAATTAAACCACCTGGCTCAGAGAAACCAACCAAATCAAAGAGGCGGTTATTCTTGTTTTTTGGTTACAGGATTTCATAATGAGCTGACGTCGGTTGGAGAACCATTGGAAAACCAGCTGGGAGTACTGAACAGCTGTTTCGTCCTAGTTTGGGACTCTTCATCAGTACACACCTGCTGGGGTTCGAACCCAGAACCTTCTGGTTACAAGGCAAGCTCGTAGACCAATAAGCCACAATGATGTTTAGTCAGTTATCAAAAAGTTACGGAACAAAATCTCAACTGAACAAAAGTGAACTTCTCTTAGTAGAAAAGGATATTTCACACTAGAGTTTATTATTTGGTGGCCTTTTTCTTCTCCCGGTTGATACATCTCTCTTAAAGGAAAATGACAGTCAAATCAGCATGCCACAATGAACAAATGAGTTACACTGACTGCAGTGATTGCTCCAGGATGTTATATCATCATGCAGGTTAGGGTTTAATGAATAACGGGGTAAGAGCAAAATTAGTAGGAATCGAAGTGTTATAGTTTAAATCATAGACCATTGATCTGAGAATGAAGTTGTACTGCTGGCGGCGTGTTCGGTGTGTAAGATATACGAAGTTTTCCTGAAATAACGTGAAATTTAACTGTGATGTTTCCACAGTATGAATAAGAAGATATACGAATGATTTTCGAATCACAACTGATCGGATAGTAAAGAAATGTTTGACTATATTGGGAAGAAACAACAAAGTGTTTGATTCTTCTGGAAATCAAATTAAGTCAGATGGATGAGTAGCCAACAGCAACAAAATTGGAGGCGAGTACAAAACGCTCGTTTAGTTTTCACCGAATAGCTCAATTTGTGAAACATAAAAAAGATACTTGAATACTCACTGGGTATCAAGTGTAGTGCTAAGTGTGAAAACTTACAAAATGGCTGGAAACAACACATAGTTTATTTAAGAAAAGTTAAAACAAGGCAACTAGTCAAAGAGTTTCGCCAGGAAATGTCTACATAAATATTCCAATATAGATATCTACTAAGGATTGAATGGGATCAGTAGTTGAACGCTACTCATCAAATTGAAGTGATCTAAATAGCAGACATGAAGTTGCATGAAGTTCGGATGTATTGGTGTGTCAGCGTAGAGAATAATACCTGATGGAAATGTTGAGTTAGGAATTCCGATTAATTCGAAATTACTTTTGAAGAAATCGCAGAGGACTAAAGTTCACCTGTGAAACTCTAGACAAAAACGTGGAATTACCGCCAACCATATTCGGCCATCTATTTGATGGCTGTACAACTGGTGTTGGGGGCTGACTTTGGAGACGTAGATTAACATTAGAATTCAGTGCCGGATTTTCATGGGTTGCACAAGACGGAGAGTTTCTAGACTCACTTTCAGAGACCGTTTCAGATACATGTGGCTCTTCGACCGTCTTTGGTGGATTCCAAGGGACAACTTCAGGTGACTTGCAGCGATCTTCCTCATGCAGACTAGAATTGACTTTAAGCTTGCATGTAGGTATTGGTGCATAAGAAAAACGAGGTGCATGTCTTCCATTAACCGGTCTTCTTGACTTAGCTGGAGATGAGAAACGGGAACGTGAACTGGGGACACGGTTAGAGTAATGAGAACGACGTGGTATTCTTGACCGATCCCGTCTTCGGTCGTTGGAAAGTAATCTGGAACAGTGTTTATAATAGCTATGCTTTGAGTGTGATCGAGATTTTTTACTCCTTCTGTCATCATATATACTTTCAACTCACTTGCGGGAACGTTATCGGCTTCTACAGCGGTGTCTCAGAAGACCGTTTATGAAAATTACATGGCTTTTCGTCAACTTGCTTTCTATAAAATTATCTTTATTCTTCCTCGTTTGGGATTAAGCTCATCAGAGATGTAACTCAGTTCAGAGAGCCAATTCAGTTCAAACCACACGGTTCCTGGCTACCTACTTGGGCAAAATGGTTGTATAATAAGTCAAATTCGCAATTTATGCATATCGAGATGATTATTTCACCACAGTCCCCCTTGGAAACTAAATTAAATTGGTAAAATTGAGAACTAATTCGCAAATTGTGAATTCGATTTATGAAATAACCCAATACAGTCAACGGAAAAATATTGCTTTTAAAATTGAAGAAAATTTCAGAAAAATTGGAGAAATTATCCACATTTTGGGACAGCTGTATCCTTCAAACCGACGAAAGTGTTCAAAATGCTCAAATGCTCAAGAAACACACAAAAATCAGTAAATAAAGAAGAGATAGGAAATTCAAGTTGAATAAAACAGCTGCGGTAGTCGCCACACACTGAACAATTTGTTCGACTTATAGCACAACACGTTCACTGACATTAGAGGAGTAGTTAAACGCCAAGTTAACCATCAACGCACACACAATTACTAAGTTGAACTGGGAAATTATGAAAGTTGCTTAAGGTGTGGACAGAATTATTGTTAAAATGACATCAAAATTAATTAGAAACCAATGAAGACAAATTCGTTTCACGTTTGACAATGACAGATATCAGGTAGAGAGCCATTGTAGGCCATAGAGTGCTTGACAGCTGTTTTATCCTAGATTGCGACTCTTCAGCGGTGTGAGGCCACAGGTTCAAACCCAGACCTCATTACAAGTAAAGGTCGTAGACCATTCAGCCAACGTGTATTTATACTCACACGTACTACTTGCTGCTGGAGGCCTCCAGTGATCACGATTTCTCACTAAAAAATACAGGCGACTTCGTCCTGTCGCTATTAATTGGTGAGCATGCCGCGTTTTCAGTAGTTCCCTAACTGACATCAATCCGTGGTCAAACTGGAAACAAATCAAATACCCGCCTACAAACTAACCCATGAAGAAGAATTTCATTACTTTGAGCCAAGTTCCCTGTTTTTATTATTACTCTAAGGGGACGAAATCTTAACAAAAAGAAAACACTGAAACTCTCGAAGCCCTTATCTCAAAATAAAAGCACAATAACAACAGAACATTTAAATGTTGAGCGTCAGATATATTCATCAATCAACAATATCAAAACTAAGAGTATTTATTACACATTCCATTGACGAATTTGACAGATAGAGCGAACAAACAGTAATTTAGGCTCAATATAATAATAAAAATAATAATAATAATAATAATGATAAATAGTTCGATAGTTCTAAATGATTCACATGAACTCTGAAACAAGTAGCGAAAATGTTTAGTGCTACAAATATGTGCGCTTAAAATTAACAATGATAATAACAATAATGATAATAATAATAATGATAATAATAATAATAATATGACCTGAAATCAAATGAATAGAGAATAGGACCGACTGTAGCGCTATTGTTAATACTAATTATTTGTTTAGTGAAAATCACAGAATTAAGTTCAACTCTCCATGTTATTAAAAGATGTCTAATTTATAGTCGACAGTATGCATTAATTTTAGATGAACTAAGATGCCAAACAATGAGATGCCAATACATGCATACACACATACATACAACTAGTTTGGTAAACTCAACAAACAAACAAACAAACTGACGAACAAACAGCGTAATATTATTTGAATAACCATTATTTATGCGCATCTCCACCATATAATCTATTGAGTGGTCGATGCGTATGACATGCTTTCATTTAGAGATAATGACGGTATAGAATATTATTTTATTATTACTGCCTTGAGTTCTGAGTGGAACATACGGCTTCATCAGCACGTCTCGACTTTGTCTTGTTTCCTGAAGTCCTCTTCAGCTGCCGCCACGATTACCCATAAGCTTTCATCTCTGCTCCATGTCACCCTTGAACCAATGCACAACTTTTCGTTTCTCATTCGGATTCCACTCGAGTGATAACCTGGAGCGCGATTTCACCCGACGGTCTCCTCAATGTATGTCCGATACACATATATGCATTTCCCTAGGAATATTTGTTGAGCAATAGGTTCTTGATTGGTTTGTGCCCGGCCAGAGTTTCTTGCTGTTTTTAATCTCCTGGCCGGCCATATAATCTTCAGTTTGGAGCCAGAGAAGGCAGTTGTTGATAAAAACATCTGCAGCCCGTTAGAAATGCTTCTTGTCAAGTTTCTGACCCATAAGGGAAGAACCAACTGGCTGGTTATCGTCGTCACATCTGTCTTCTCTATGTTTACTTGAAGTTCTATCTTGACTACTTCTTCTGTCAGCTTGTTGGTTTTCGCCTGTGAGTCTTCGAGTTTGTGTGATACTAGGACATAAATCGTCCGCAAAGTCCAGATCTTCTTAGAGTCTTCTTATCGGTCCAATGTATTCCCGACTTCCCACTGCCTATTAACGGTCTGTTGCATGATCCAGTCCACCACAGTAAGGAATATTATACATATACACTGTTTATAAAACACTCATCGATTTAACTAACTACAAATGTTGTGTCGAAAACTAGTGTAACAGCTCGCCCCCCCCGCCTCAAAAGATGCCACTGCTTAATCTCGAATTTTAAAATGATACTAAAATCCCTCTCAGTAAAACATACTTTTCTTGCAAAAAATAAGTCAGGCCACCAAGTGAAAGACAACTTGTCGCATTGCCCCGCATCAGCATGCATAAACCAGTTCACTCAGCTCTTATGAAGCAGAGTAGATTAACAGTACTACGCTTCCCCTAGTGAACCACACTCTGTAACACTATACAAAAACTTGCTAGCAAAGGTTGAACGTAGGTGTGCATATACCTCGATAACACAACATCTGGTGAACTTAGAACATTCAACTACATCTGATAATTCCTTGGAAGTCCTATACAAGATTCGAACAAACCTGTCACAAGGACTGATGTTAAAGCATCTGGAAATAGCTGAGGTAATAGCGATCCAAAACTTCACGCCAACTCTACATATTCAAAAGCAAAAAGGACTAGTGGGATCCACAAATCGAACGTGAGGACAAATACTGGACTAACTGACTGATTTTCAAAAAAGAACTTCGCACAGAAGTACATCAGTTCAAGTTGCCACACTTAATGAAGGGAAAAGAGATTCAGAAAGACTAAAATAAACAGAAATGGAAGAAAGAAAGAATAGTAACTTGGAAAAAAAACACGACGGTTTAGTGGATATGAGGGATTACAAAGTGAAGACATCTACGCATTTGGAAATAATTTTGAGACATATCGCCAATTCAAATTTAAAAGGTAGAAATGGATAGAATAAATTAATTTTACAAGGATAACACCTAATTAAAGATGAAGTGGTCAAAATAAAAATAAAATAATTTGGGCAATTATAATTTAATAGGTTTAGGGGGAGGGGGGCAACGTAGTCCTGTCTTGTAACGATGGCCACGGTAAGGAAAGTGGCTGTACAAATTTCTTCTGTACACATAGGCTTGGTTTCCAAATGTCTAAGTAGGGATATTTTCTATATATCGTCAATTGTTTTTCGCTATTGGTTCTTGAAATCCCGAGGAGTCGAACCGAGAAGCCTAGCTTCCCTACGCGGCTGACTCAAACCAACTGTCAAAGATTTCGTCAACTGATTCCAGGTTTCGGTTTGACCAACTCTAACTCTACTCCAACCTAATTCTATGTCAACTAACATCGCGCATCGAGGAAGACGATGCCTAGGCATGCACAACACATGCCCTAGTCATCTCAATCAATCCACCTTTGCAACCTTATCGATTGACTTTCCCTCCTAACCAAACACTCATCGTCTAACGCCAATTAACGCGGGAGACAGAACACAGACAACTAGCCTTTTCTCATATATATTCGACTTTGAACGGCCATGTCCCGCAGGTACAATTGAGGACGGAGAGAACTGCCTCACAGTACATACACATCCTTCTATAGACAGCTGGATATCATGTCTACGCCAGAGATAACGTAGGTGGAGAAATACCACACGAACCTTTTTGTATCCCTGCTGAGATTTCGTCAGCGATCATTCCGTTGGGGCTGATGCAACTTACCAAATAAGTGAAGCGTTCAATACGCCCTACCACTTGTTCACTCCCTATCTTTGATCTAGGAGTCGATGACACTGGCTGGTGGTGGGGCCTAAACTCGTGGAGTGACAGAAGTTAGAATTCACAATCTGACCATTCGATTCTGTCTCAGTGGCTGAATGGTCAACGACCTCGCCTCGTAACTTGAAGGTCTTGGACTCGATCCCTAACAGTGGGGCCACGTGGGTGAGTACTGCTGAAGAGTCGTGAACTAAGATTTTTTAAAAAGCTGTCCAGTACTCCTGATGGTTCTTAATGATTCTCTAACGGGTATCAAACCATGGTCAAACTTGAAACCCAACAAATCCGTACAAACTAACACAAAAAATAAATTAACACACCAAAGATGTGTGTATGTGTGTGTGTGTGTGTGAATGTTCACAAGCGTTAAAGTACTTTTAATTGCGAAAAATCACATTTTAACTTTGTTTTTCTTTCTTTACCTTATTAGAATCAGCTGGATCACATTCAATTGCTGTCACACGACAATGACGACCTTTTGTAGTACCAGATTTGATTGTTATAAAAGTTATGTATGACAGCTGTAAAATTAAGAGAATAGAAAACGCCGGTGATTTTCATATATGCAGATAGTATGAAAGTATATGTGTAACTGAAACTTGTAAAGGTGACATGATTCAATATACTAGGGTATTGTGATGCATACCATCAGAGGGTTACCATTCAAAGGAACCTTGAGATTATGTTTATAATGTAATATAAGGTGAAACTACAAGAAGTACATTGCTGCCACAGACTGCGATTGATTATACCGTTTCAGTCCAACTGTCACTGATAGTTAGTCTTGCACAACCCCAAGTACTAGACTCAAGTTGTTATAAACGGACGACATTAACGGACGATATTCAGTCTGTTCAAATCACTGGGATACCAAATTCTTTAGTTGTCCATCAAAATGCAACACAATGGCATCTTTGAGTCGCAGTCTGTAACAACGTCCATTTTCAAATAAGTTTCGACCTACATTGATTGAACACTAGGTAGTAAGTGGCTAATGTCATGCAACTAGTCCTTTGTTTGGTGTAGACTGCATTCTATCAGTCAAATTTGTAATGTGGCCACAGTGTTATTTTATTTATTTTTTTAAAATTTATTTATTATAGCTTGATTCCACCAGTATGGAATTTTCAGCATTTGATTTCGGTAGCCCAAATTTAGCAGGCCGACCAACGTTCGAACCCCGGATCATATGCACGGTCGGCGAGCGTCCTAACCGCTGCTCACCATCAAGGTGCACTCTGAATTTGTTGTGGTAGCGTCTCTAATTGCAGCACTGAGTGACACGGGTTTGGATCTCAATGGGGATATGAATTCCTTCAGGATTGTAAAAACGCCTTGCTGACGAGTGCTAACAAGCACGAAACCTAGGTCCACAGCTCCCTACCCGATTGACTAAAACCAATTAAACAGGTTGAAACCTACTAATACCATGAGATTTTCGAAGGAAATTGTCCCGCTGTGACGCAGCACATCTCAAATGATTGCAGTATATGTAGATTATTGCAGTTACGCCAAAGAAGGTGATAAACCAATATACATGAAAACCTGAATTTTCCTGATACATGCATAGTTACTCAGAGATATTCTTAGGAAATGAGATGAGTACTTAATCATTCTATGGTACACATCCACTGTAGCTACTGAATTACACCTTTATATATGGGTGTTTAAAGGAAAGGATTCTGAATTTCATTCTCGTCATCAGTGGGAAGTTACCATAAAAGACTAGGCACGGTCGAGGGTGGCTAGACTTCGGGATTACTCCCGGAATTTTCTCATATGGCCATGCGTTCACAGCATTTGTCAGATAAGTCCTATTCACTGCCTTCACGAGGCAGCGATGTTCCTCCAAAAGTCTGCTGCTTACAATCCCACTGGTGCACCTGCCGGTCTATCTTGGGTGGGCTGGAAAAGACTGATTCCAAACAACTGATGTACATGGGCTCCAATATTCAAACGGACCAAATGGAATATGAACCCGTTTTGGTCACCGAAAACTATGAGGACGTAGCTACTGACGCTGACCAACTGCTTTGTGGGTCAGATTTCAAGTCGAAGGCTGTGGGGCGGTACTTTTAGACAACTATCTGCCTCGGTCTGGCCATGGAGACAGTATACCAGTCCCCTCTCACAAACCAAGAGATTTTTTGTGGTGCATTTCATAGTGCCCATTATGTACCAGGTTTGTTTTGAGAGAAATAATTAGTGAGAAGAGTAGCGAGTTAGCAGGAAAACGTCATTGAAAATAATGACTTAGAGAAAAATATTTAAAAAAAACTAGAATGTACCGCTAACGTAACAACAAGTGTTTCTCATTAGCCGGTGTACAACTCAAATGTGACTGTTGATTTACATATATGCATATGAGCTGTACACCACAAAAAATTAAAATTATAACCCACTCTTGAATAATGACACAACTGAATGATCAAAAACAACTTATTCGAAGAAATTATCTATCTCTACGTCTAAAATGATGACACTTGCTGATTCAAAGCTCTAACTTTGATATTGCCTTACTATTATTTGCGTTCTGTTTCTGCTAGAGTCTTCACCTGACTCCAAGTTTGCCCACACGTTTTCATCTCCTCTTCACATGACCTCCTCCAAGTCACCCTTGCACTGACGACCAACTCGCCGCTTCCCTTACGGTTTCCACTCAAGGGCTTGTCTAGTGATGTCACTTGATGGTTTCCTCAGAGTATGGCCAATCCATCTCCATTTTCCCTTAGGTTCCGAGTAAAACATAGGGCTTATGCAGTCCTCTTTAGCCGGCTCCACGACTGTCCATAAGCGCTCATCTCCTCCTCACACAACCTCCTCCATGTTACCCACAGACCCATGCCTAACTCACCGTTCCCCATTCGCGTTCCACTTGAGGGGCTACCTGGGGTCCAATGTCACTCAACAGTATCCTTAGTGTGTTCCCAATCCATCCTCACTTTCTGATGCATGTTTGATGGGTGATAGGTCACTTCTAGGTTCGTTCTCAGTGTTTCTTGTTAATTATCCTTTCTGGCCACCGGTCTGATCTTCAGTATGGAGCGAAGGCAGCTATTTATGAAAGTCTGCAGTGGCCTGATGGAAATGCTTTTCGTGACACACGCATCAAGTCTCCGAACCATAGATAAGGATTGATTTGACATTAGTGTTGAAAATCCGAATTCCGTTCTTTAAGCTTAGTGCAGCAGAATTCCACACTGATTTCGAATAATGAAAGCTGTCATTGTTTTTCTTTCTCGGCTTTGATATCCTCATCCGTGTCGTCCACCGGTAGATAAGTGAAGGAAGTCGCTCCCTTTACATTTCTCGCGTTGGTAGTGATTGGTGCTTGTTGTTATTAGTGAGTGACCGGGTATCTTCATCCCCATGTGTCTCCTCTATGTTCACCTGGAATCTTGTCTTCGCTGCTTGCCTCTTCTACCGAATTGTTGGTTTTCGCCTGTAGATCTTTGAGTTCGTGTGACAACAGATACGAATAGTCCATTTCTTCTTCACGGTCCAACGTATTCCAGTCTTCCCGCTTCCCATATTACCTTACCACTTCCATAATGCATGACAATAATACTCCATGTCTTCTGTATAACTGAAATTCATATATCACGCAAGTATAATGCACAGGGAGAGAGAATTAACTAACCTCACTATTGAAGAACAATACACGTCCATCGTATGTCCCAACAACAACCTTGGTGCCTTCACAAGCAAATGTTGCACAAGTAATCACTGTTTTAGGTCCAACACCACCTTTGGATAAACCGAGGATAGATGTTGTATACTGTGAATTGTTATATGGACTAGAACGTGTAAACAAACTGGTCACTGTATTCGATGAAGATGCTGAAGACAGAGAAGTTGTAGAGACTGGTAAAGCACTCGGTACAGGAACTTCAACCCAAAAACGAACTTTTTTATCAGGAATATTCCATAGTCGAAGTTTCCCGTCTAAACTTCCAGACAGGAAGTAACGATCATCCTAGGGAATAGGAAAATGCATTACAAAAAGAAATAAACTTAAGGAATTCAGATAAATATATGTGTGACATTTACGCACAAAAATAAATGTTTACATTTTGGCTCAAATACTAGACGGTTTCGAACCCTATTCCACCGATATGAACATGGGTAACTAGGTAGTGTCACCAGCTCTTCACACAACAATTGCGGCTCGTAGCCTGGTACAGGAAGAACACCTGCTACGGTAATAATGAGTCCTAACCCTCAGTTATTATGAGCAATAATTTTTCACTACTGAGCAATAAGTGTTTTTATAACCTAAGTAAAACAAACCTTCAGAAGTACGCAACCAACGGGGTTCGAACTGAAGGCCTTCCGCTTACAAGGCAAGCTCAAAGAGCATTCAGCCCACGGACTGGAACGCCCAGGGGTGTATACTGACAATGAGTTCCAAACTAGGAGGAAACAGCTCTCCAGTACCTCCTGGATTTCAGAGGTTGTCTAACTCATATCTATCCGTGATTAAACTTGAAACAAATCAAATACCCTCTACAAACTAACACTTGAAAATTAACCTGATGCTTACTAGTCACCGGCTACAGGACGAAGCTGACTGGAGTTCTAGTGAGGCGTCGGGTCTCCTAGGAAGGGTGTGAAGACAAATATCTGCTAATGACATTGGCTGGTAGTCGCGCTGAAATCTCGAATTGGTGGAAGTTGGAATTGATTGGTTGGCAATTGATTTGGGTCCCGATAGCTGAATGATCTACGAGCTTGCCTTTGTAAATGAGAGGTCCCAGGTGCAAACCTCCGGGAGAGGAGTACTGCCGAAGAGTCCTAAAATAAATTCAATAAAAAGGCCACGATTTTGAGCAAAACCACGTATCAGCTATCTATTTTCTTATTATATATCAGACTTAAGTTCCAGAGAGAAAGAAATCACGGGATATACACAAGGAGAAGGAAAGGAAGGAACGGGCAGGAAACTTATTACCATTTTTCTGTTTTATTCTTTTGCATCCCGAGTGAAATACAGAGTTTCAAGCTTGAACTCTGAAATTTCACTAGTAGTGGCGTTTATTTTATTTTTTGCTGAAGTTTGGGGCTGGGAGGCTGACGCCCAACACTCTCTCTACTACCGGTTAATCGCGAGGTTTAGGAGTGTGTCAGCCGGGGATCAAACCACAGACCACATGCATGCTGAGTTGGTGAATATTCTACCACTGAACCACCAATGTACGGTCAAGAGATTATCTAGGCCACATATTTGGAAGTTACACAATGTCAACAACAGATGTCAAGGAAAATTAAGCGCAGATTCAACAATCATTTACTCTGTGTTAGGAACAAAAGGTACCGCAAGTCATAACAAATCAGAAGATATATATATATATCACGGAGTAGTTGCGATACGAAACTAAATAAATGAAACAAGATACGTCAAGACGTCGGTGGTTCAGTCGTAGTATGCTCAACAACCACGCATGTGATCAGAGTTCACAATTCACCGTGGACACACTTTTAAGCCTCTTTCAACCAGTAGTATGTCCGGCACAGAGGGAAGATTCGGAGTAAGGCTGGCAACGCTACCAGGGCTACTGAAAATTCAAAGCTCAAGCATGAAGTCCTATGCTCCACTCGGAAGGCCAAGGAGATGGAAGAAAGTCAAGACTCCATTAAGCAACAGAAATAACTGCAGTAGGTGGGGCAGGATTCGAAATTAGGCGGAATTTGCTGGGTATTCAGCTGACATAGCATTCGGTTGGAAGAGTTAGACGTGATCGAACCATATAGCCTGGCATCAATGCATGAAGTCTTTCACGGACCAGCCACGTAGGGAGGTACAGACTGTCTAAATGAAGCCTTCGGGATGTTACAAACCAATGGTTGGAGACTATTGATGATGCAGCACAAAATCCTTCTCAGTAGCGCAGATCCATTGCCTATTTGTCATCTCCTATATAAATTAAACCCTCATATTTTTCCGCGTTACCACCCATTCACCCTGAAATTTCTGCTTATTATAGTTTTTTTGAATCCCTTGTGTGGTAACTTGAACTACTATGCCAAGTTATATGTTGAAACTCAGTCAGCAGTTAACTACAGTCAATCAACTTTTACTGTTATGTATCGTCCGTTCTCCAGACTAAAAACGACAATGCTTTTAGATTCCATTTCTAATATATAGAAGTGCATTTATGTAGTTAAACCGACTTCTCAAATTTTATGCTAATATCTACCACAGAGAAACGCGTTTCCACTAAAAAATACTAATATTTCTTCTTAGCCCACCTATGTAAAAGACTGAGAACAATGAAATAAATTATACAAAAAGACTCAAAATTATGTTGTACCGCCTTCTAAGGAAAGTAAGTCGGAGCTTAGGCGTATCCTAAATATTTACACACTATTAGTGTACACTGAAAAGCGATTAAAAAAGCATCTACATTCACACTTGTTTTAATATTAAAAGCACTTTACTTTCACATCATTCGGAAAAAGTAAAACTTCTCTCCAGCCCCACCCCTATACCATCACAGTTCAGTTGTATTAAATTCTCGTAAAGTTATTTTTGATGCAACCGGTAATGAGCTAATCAAAATTGTACTGTTTCTTGCATACATATTCTTTAGTTGATTTTAATTGAATAATCATAAGAATTCACTGCTTCTTATCCGGCCTGAATAAATACTATGCTGAAAATCAATGAACAGACTCGAAATTTTAAAGATGACTCTTCTTGTTGAGAAGACGAGTTTTTCACAGTTGTTACACATATAACTGATTCAACTACGATTTAGAGTAGAAATTTTCACAGAAGAGTAATACTTGAAGTTACCACACTCCATGTAGAAACTCCAACCTCCACCAAAAATAACTAAACAAAACATCCAAAAGAACTATATTACGCTGAAAGCTGAGGCAGAAGGAATAGAGGGACAAGGAAACTCAATGGATCTGGCAGAATACAAAGGAGTGAATGCATATGTATCACTAAGAACGAATTATGAGCCATATTATCGACAGTCTGAACTTATTACGTCGTAGTATTCCGAGGAATTCACCAACTGATACTCCCCTAACATGGGGTACCGGCTGGCATATAAGACTGCCCTAATAACCTACCCTAACAGGAAAATACAACACTCGAGGTTCCACAATGCCGGAACAGTCGTTGCAACGACATTTAGGAAATAAAAACAAGTGATTCAGCGAAGAGACTCTATTCAAGCTGTACAATCGTATATATATGGTTTTCAAGAAATTATATCCCGTGACATTTTATCAATGTAATCTTTACAATCCATAATAACAACACGTGCACCCTTGTCAGGGCGTGTTAATAGTATATCTTTGTTATGCGTCAACAGTTTGAGTTCTTCTTTGTGCTGTTTAGTCAGAATACTGCATTACTGTCCAGTTGGAGAATCTACTCAGTCAAACTTATGATCTCATACCATAATCCGACCAGGATTTTCAATGCTTCAAATCTACCTTCACTGATGCTTACAATCAATACCTTAATGCTAAATCAAAAATCCAAAGTCTTCTGACTAAAAAGCACAAAGAAGAACTCAAACTGTTGACGCATAACAAAGATATACTATTAACACGCCCTGACAAGGGTGCAGGTGTTGTTATTATGGATTGTAAAGATTACATTGATAAAATGTCACATCTACTTTCAGACAGCAGTAAATTCTCGAAACTGAAGGAGCAAAACAAGACGGAATTAATCGAAAAGCAACTTACCGAAGCTTTAAAGAGAATGAAGAACAATCATCTCATTCGTGAAGAACTGTACGAAAAGATTAGACCAACAGGATCTCTAATACCAAGACTTTATGGTCTACCGAAGATACACAAAGCTGGCCTTCCACTCCGCCCTATCTTCGATATGTCCGGATCCCCTTATCCTCCAGTAGCTGGGTGGTTAGCTGAAATCCTCGAACCCGTCAGGGAACAACTGTCTATTCATTCCCTTCGTGACACCTTCCAATTTGTTCAATGTATACAAGATACAAATGCTTCGAATAAACATATGTTGTCTTTAGATGTAGAATCCCTATTTACGAACGCTCCACTGACAGAAACCATATGTTTTATTTGCAAATATATTGAAGACAACAAGTTGAATATAGGGATACCCACTACAGATTTGAAAGAACTACTTTTGAGATGTACATTGAATGTACAGTTTACTTTCAATGAAACAATTTACAAACAGAAGGATGGTATTGCAATGGGTTCTCCCTTGGGTCCTTTCCTTGCAGACTGTTTTATGGCCAGTCTAGAGAATGGTCAGTTGAAGTCAACAATCCAAAGCTTTCAAATGTATAAAAGGTATGTAGATGACACCTTTATTATTTGTAATAGTGATTGTAATTTGAATAATATATTAAATGCATTTAATGGTTGCCATCCAGCGATAAAATTCACACTCGAAATGGAGAACGAGTCTAGTATTCATTTCCGATGGAACTCTGAAGAGATCGATTTATCGAAAGCTGTCGTGGAATGGTCAACTGACAAATTTCAACAGCTGGGTACCCATTGGTCGAAAACGAAACCTGGTCCGGTCGCTTGCCACTCGCATTCGGCGCATATGTAGCCCTGATACGGTGGAGGATAAGTTAAATCTTTTGAGGAAAATCCTAATAGAAAATGGATTTCCACCACGTTTTATGGACAAGAATATACATTCAAATCCTATGAAACGTGACTTATCACCCGCACCCAAGAAAATGCTGTACATGAGCTTGGAATTCAAAGGTGACTTAGCTTCCGATATCATGAAAAGAAGAATATCACAGTCCCTGAAAAGAACATTCCCTGCTGCATCTCTGAGAATAGCCTTTACTAGTCGACCATTACTGTTCAATAACCTGAAGGACAAGATCCCGCTGTTGACCAACTCTATGTGTGTTTATCAATTCACCTGCTCGTGTGGAGCTAGGTATATCGGTCGTTCAACTCGATTTTTGTCCAAGAGGGTGCAAGAACACTATCCTGCATGGTTACGAAGAGGTCGAAGTGGAGCAATAAAAAGCGCGATCATTGAACATCTGGTCGATAATGATCACCCTATCTCTATAGCCTCTGCCTTTAAAGTCATCTACAAGGCAAAAAGTAATTTACCGAAATCACTACGTACCCGACTCATTTGTATTGCTGAAGCTTTGGCTATCGAAACAGAAAAGCCAGATCTCTGTGTACAGAAAAAGTTCGTTCAACCCCTCCAACTTTCATGGTCTTAATCCCTCTATGCTAAAGTATGGTGATCCCTAATCATGTTTTGGCTCTACCAATTTTTCATTTTGTCTATTCAATTTGTATACTCTTCCTTTATTACGTCAATTGTTACTATTACTATTCTCACTTTGAACTGTCCCCGGTATTATTTCACTTGTTCCACTTGTCATTCTAAATCAATTCTCTTTTATTACAACGTTAAATTCTATGTTATCAAATTTCACACAATATTACGTAACGTTTTCATTTTATTCGATTTGTCTACTAATCCTATAATTGCACACCCTTTCCAAGTTCTATCCATCCTATGAATTATTCTATATATGACATTTATTGTTTTGCCACTTGACATTTAACTATGATTATAATCACAAACATTTTAGTTTTAATTGCATTTCATACTATTATTATTATTATTATTTTATGCATTCACACCTATGATTCAATTCCCTCACCGGATATAATTTCTTGAAAACCATATATATATATATATATATATATATATATATATATACGATTGTACAGCTTGATGATAAATTCGTTGAGAAGAGTCTCTTCGCTGAATCACTTGTTTTGATTTTCTATAAGTTACAATGGGAATTTTCCATGAGCGTATATAGTGTATTATACAATAAGATTTTCCATAGAGGAAATTCTATTAAGATGACTCCTCACTCAGTTGCCCACACTGGTATTCAGATTCTTTGTGAAGAAATATAATGCACAGGAAAAATTACCATTATAAATTATCCGACAAAATAAAATTACAAGTCAGTAGTTCTGTTCGAAAATAAATGCGAAGCTGATAGGAAACGTATTTCAAATATGAACCCCATCTAAAAAATTCAATTTCAGTGGAACATTCACTTAAACTGATAAGAGTTAAGTAATTGGCTTAAAAACCCGATGCTATCGATCATACCTTAACATATAAAACTGACTGACTAACTGACTGATTTCAACCTAGAACTTTGCACTGATGTCAGAGTTCGATGCCACACTCCCTCTATGTAGCACACAAAGGAAGAGAAGAGAGATAGATAATAAACAAAGATATGCGGCAAGAAGAATAGTAATATGGAAGAAAAATAGAATTTTATTGGATGTGATGAATCACAAAAAGTGAATGCGTCTGCGCCACTGAAACGATTTTTGTAGCCATATCACAAATTGTATAAAGCCATTGCTTTCTACCCTCTCGAGGACCCCAACCAGGAAGTCTACACTTCCCGACGTGGCTGTCTCGAACTAACTGTCAAAGATTTTATGGACTGACTCCAAGTATTGGTTTGACCATCATTAGCTCTTTTCCAACCTGATCCATCCTATGTCAGCTAAGATTGCCCATCGAGGAAGGTGATGGCTAGGCATGCGTAACACATGTTCTAACCATCTCAATCGGTGTAACTTCACAGTCTCGTCGAGTGATTTCCCCTTCTTACTTCCTTAATATACAGGACTGTGGCTTCAATACAACACAGCCAAACGGCTTGAAATTCTAAAAACCAGACTAGTATTTAATACTATTCCTATGGGTTTCGAGTGGAACATAGGACTCCAATAGCATATCTCCGTTTCATTTTGTCCTCTGCAGTCTTTATAAGCTGGCTACACGATAGTCCATAGGCTTACATCTCCTCCTCCTCTCACGATCAGCTCAATTTCACCCTCAGACCCATGCTCAACTCGTCGTTTCCTATTCGGATTCCACCAGAGGGTCTACCTGACTCATGAAATCCCTCAGTGATCTTCTCAGCGTGTCTCCAAATCCATCTTCATTTTCTTCGGCACATTTGTTGGGCGATAGGTTCTCAGTAAGTTCGTTTCCTAAGTTCCTTGTTGCTTATACTACCTGTCTAGCCAGCGAAGACAGGTGTTGACGAATGTCTCCGGTAGGCTGTTGAAAATGCTTTTTGTGACATACGCCTCGAGTTTTCGAAACACATAGAAGTACTGATTTGACATTAGCGTTGAAGATTAAGATCTTGTACCTTGGTTTGGGTGTAGTAGATTTCTACACTGGTTCTAGAGTACTGAACACCTGTCTTGCCTTTCCAATACTGAAGTTGAAATAGGGCTGCCCATGTTGATGATAGAAATAACTTTCTTTGAATTACTCTCATTGATGGTGATCGGTACTTATTGTTGTTGGTGACGCGGTATCTACATTACCTCTGTTTTCTCTATGTTCACTTGTAGCTCTGTTCTCGCCTATAGATTTTCCAGTTCCTATGACATTAAATATAAACCAGACTAAACAGTCCCTTTCCCATGTCAAGTACATTTTTGATAACAAAAAAAAAGAAGTGACTCATTAGCTGAAGCATTCTGCTTCGAGCCAGTAGGCCCTGAGTTCAAAACCCGCTCCATCTACTTCAGCATGGAGAACCGGGTATTATTATCAGCCCTCAAACATTCAATAAGTGTGGCTCATAACCAGAAATATGCAAAACCTGTTCCGGGAACTCAGTTCAAATTAATTTAAAATTAATAATAATAATAAAGAATACGATATTACTTCAAGTTTGATCACGGATTGATATCAGTTGGAGAACCACTGAAAACCAAGGAATACTGGAAAACTGTTTCGTCTTCCAAATTTGGGACTCACCGGCAGTACACACACCTTGGTATCGAACCCAGAACCTATCGGTTGCAAGTCAAGCTAGTAGATCATTTAGCCACTGGGACCCCGAAGATCTCGGTTTGTGCTCCCGGTTGATGCGTGCCGCCGATGAGTCCCGAACTAGGACGAAACAGCTCTCTAGTACTCCCTTCTACTTCAATTTGTTCTCTAACTGATATCACCACATGGTCAAACTTGGAACAAATCAAATCCCTACCAAACTAACTCTTGAAAATTAATATGACATTACCTTTGGATGGAATACAATTGTCGGTACTGTATCATTATGACTAAATACGCAGAGACATTCACGTCGACTAATATGCCAAAGACGAACTTGATGATCCATACTAGTTGCTAGAAGGAATAAATTTTTTGACCATGCTAATTCAGTGACAACACCTTCATGACCTCTTAAAACTAATAATGGTTTAGAACGGAATACAGTTTTACGTTCTCTTTGTGAATCAGATACAACAATCGGAGGTAGTGATGCTGATGCTGGGTTCATCACTATTGCCGGTACAGGTATTGAATGTTTTAAATTATTTTTTGTACTCCCACCACTGGATGATGGTGGTGAAGGCCTGTCATCAGTGACGCCAAGATGAACACCAGAACATCCGGGTGCAGAACTGCTACTAGACGCTCCATCCTGGATTAAGAAAAAAAAGGGAGGGAGGGGGGAGAAATCGAAAAGTTCGTTATGAAATATACAAAAGAATATATGTTAAAGCATACAAATTAGTAATTAATAATCAATTAATTTATTCTTTTACGTTCCGAGTGGAACAAGAGGGTTTCAAGTTTGACTGACTTTTGAAGTTTCAGTTGTAGTTGTTTAATTTTTATGGGGTGAGGTTAGCAACCCAGGACCACATGTGATGAGCATTCTACCGCTGCACCGCCGACGCACTAGATGCATCTGCAATCTTGAAGAAAATCACATGCCTTCTAAGATCAATTGGTACAATCAGTAATATAAAGTCAGACATTCATTCCTGAACTGAAAAAATAGGTGCAGGTTGGAAAAGTAAGTGGTGGCCAAACTAAAACATACATCAATCCATGAAATCCCTGACAGTTAAACTGAGTAGGTAGGGAGATGCAGACTTCCTGGTTGGGGCCCTCGGGACTCTAAGAATCAATGGCTGGAGACAATAGGTGACATGGCTCAAAATCGTTGTCAATGGCGCAGATGTATTCAGTCTCTGTAATCTTTCATATTCCTTTCTACCATTACTCATTCTGTTTCACTCTTATACTTATCTAAATTCTATTGATTCTCTTCTCTCATTTTCCTGTCTACCTTTGTGTGATATTTGGAACGTGGCAACTCGAACTGCTGCAAAGTCATGTTGAATCAGACAGAGAGAACTGAAATATCAAGGAGGTAAACCCCCATATTCACTGTATGACAACCATAATCCGTCCAAATGAGATCAGTTACACACTAATTTTTTCAATCATATTATAGTTTCATTCACGAAAAATACCCATCCAGACAACGAAGATAGAACAAACAGTTCAGCGAAGAAACTTTTCCGTGAAGTCATTCCCTTAGCTGTACAATCGCAATTATCTATAATTATTTTTTGACATATATGTGTACATTCAGTCTTTCAGTTATAGCACAGGAAATAAAAATTAGTTTGGACTATTAGTTGGTTGGCAGCAATCGGCAGGAAGCCCAGTCTGACCTAGGTTTCGTGCTGATTGGAGAAATACGATCAGAAGTATTGTTGTCTATTATATTGACGTTTAATTACAGATTTTAGCACTGATTAACCATTGTAAATCTTTTCCGTTATCACTTGAAGAATAAATAATCGTGTTGCCCAACTGTTTTCTGTTGTTCCGTGTCGGTTACAGTGCATAGTGATCTGAGTATTAAGCTTAATCTTCTGAAACCAGTGATAGGTTCAGGATCTCAGCGATCTGGATATTGTATTTATTATTATTATTGTTTCCTTCAATTCCTAGAGGAACATAGGGCTTCAGCTGTGCGTCTCCATTGCGTTCGGTTCTCTGCTAGAGTTTTCACCTGGCTCCAAGTCTGCCCACACGTTTTCATCTCCTCTTCACATCACCTCCTCCAAGTCACCCTCACGCTGACGACCAACTCGCCGCTTCCCTTTCGGGTTCCACTCGAGCAATGGCTTGTCTAGTGATGTCACTTGATGGTTTCCTCAGAGTATGGCCAGCCAATCCATCTCCATTTCTTCCTGCCTATTTGTTTCACAATCGGTTCCTGCTAGGTTGGTTCGCTCCCAGAGATCTCTGTTGCTGATCTTTTCTGGCTGGCCATCTGATCTTGAGTATTGAGCGAAGACAACTGTTAATGAAGGTCTGTAGTTTGTTTGAGATGCTCTTTATGACGCGCAGTGCAAGTCTCTGATCCGTATAGTAGCACTGACTTCACATTGGAGTTGAAAATCCGGATCTTATTTTTGATGCTGAGTGCTGTTGACCTCCACACAGACTTGAGAGTAGTGAAAGCTTGTCTTGCTTTTCCGATTCTTGCTTTGATATCCTCGTCAGTTCCGCCTGTAGTTGAAACGATGCTTCCCAGGTAGGTGGAGGAGGTTGTTTCTTTCAGGTTCCTTCCATTTATGCTGATTGTTGTCTGTTGTTGTTGTTGTTGCTGTTGATGGTGTTGCCCAGGAATCTTCATCACCTCTGTTTTCTCAATGTTCACCTGAAGTCCTATCTTTGATGCTTCTTCTGCCAACTTGTTGCTTTTCGCTTGCATATCTTCCAGTTTGTGGGAAATCAGACATATATCATCGGCGAAGTCCAGATCCTCCAAGTTTTTTGTGTGAGTCCATTTTATGCCTGTTTCCTCATTGCCAACTGTTTGTCGCATTATCCAATCTACTACTGGATATGTGACAACTCAAGTCCCTTCTGAGGTTAGAACCTGTGTCATCCATTCAGTAATGCAGTCGGAGACGTTACCCTTGACCTATTCAGGTCCGTGATTGACCTTCTGTAGGACTATATCGGACACTCTGACTGGAAGCTACGTAGCAAGTAACTAGTGTCGTGCGTCTAGTACTTGGTGCTGGTGCAGACTGAATTCTATCAGCCAAGTTTGCAATGTGTATTGACTATTGTTTACATCATCAAAATATTTCAAAGGAGTGATGAACAGTTAAGTTGTGACTACGGAGGGAGGGGGGGTTGAAGAACAGTAAATGTACACTTAAGTTACGTAATATGAAAAACGTTCAGGAAAAAAAACTGGATATTAATGGAAAAAAAGCATGCAGACAAGTATCGAAATAAATTATGTAGCCGGTCAACATGGTGGACAAAACGTCAATTTTAAAAAATGTGCTGTTAATAAATGTCATAAGAAAAGCGCAAAAGAAAATAGTATCAACAACGAACTATTGATACCAGTTGAACTTGGAATTATACCCAAGGTAGAAGAAGGGGATGGAGAAGTCTGTTCTTTATATACCGTTTTCGGGAGACTTCTTTCGACTGTGTAGATAATTTTGAATGACTTTGCTTTACATAGTAAGTGGCTAGTTTTGAATATACAGTCGATCATTGCACTACTTATTGATCTATTCTGACCTATATATAAACAAAAGGGATAATGTACCTTGATACTTTTAGATAAAACACGCATTGAACGACCCGTATATCTCGCTCCACAGGAACACGTGATACACATAAAAGTGGTCGTTAGAGTTACTGAGGTACATTGGACGGCAGAAGAATACCGATTTTAATTTGGAAGCAAAGAATGTTATTGTTTTCACGGCGTTCGATATTCACTTCTTTAGAGTGTGTCAGCCTTTGAATGTACACACATACAAAGGGAAATAATTATATACATATAATTACGACTGTGCAGTGAAGCGAAGCGAATGGACTTGTCGAAAAGAGTCTCTTCACTGAATTGTTTGCTCCTATTTCCATATGAAGTCCAGAGTTTCATTTAAAAAATACGTGCAGCCCATTTATAGCACAATCCATAAACCTCTAAGTATAGTCGTAGTATTGGATAAACCAACTCTATGATAATGATGATATATCACCATAACAACTGTCCTCATGATAAACACACATAATTGAACTAATGTTTACGAAACCATGACTACAAATTTAAGCAATAGTTGTATGCTATGCCCCACCCCACCCCCACCTTTCTATTTGATAAAAAAACGTACAGAACAGTGAAATTTATTACAAGAGACATTAATGATACAGAATTCTACTTACAGCTTCACTAAAGTCAGTTTTACCTGACGTTGATATCGAGGTTGATGCCAGACTCAGTGTATCCAACCGATTTTCTTCATCTAACATCACATTTGATACAGTATCATTATTTGCAGTATTAAAGGTATTTGTCATGAATGTATTCACTGAATTGTACTTGGTATTAGTAGGAGGTGGAGCTGAGATAAAATGAGAAAGATTTATTGATAAACTTGGTAGACAGTATGGGCACCAAAAGATGCGTCAGACAACAATATATAAAGAAAATAGGCAGAGAATGAATGAGGGATGCCGCCATCCAGTAAGCAAACAAGCATGCTTGTCAGGATCATTCAACATTCATCACTTCGAGTTACTTTCAGAAGGGGAAGAAAGAAGGAAATTGCAGCATATCCTCTATTAATTGCGATTCTTGGCAATATCTAATAACCTTTTGAGCCACCGACTCGAACTATGTCTCGGACCCCAATCAGGGAATCATGATGCAACAAATGAGGCTAACCTAACACAAATATCCCATGGCGCCACGTATAGCTGACCAGCTCTCTGCGTTTTCCATCCAGTCAAATACCGGTACGGAAGCCTCTGGGATGACATTCGTAGTAGCACATCTCCAAGCCACTGAAGCCAGTGTTTCCAGACGACAATACTCAATGAATGGTGACCTCAACCGTTTCCAAACACACCGTGCCAGACCTTTAAATTACCCACACGATGATGTCACTGGACGCAAGCGATTCCACGTTGACAGCGACGATCGAACACGCAAAGTCATCGCATATCTTCAGTTCGGAGAGATGTAGAGAAAGACTGCGCGCAGCGCAGCATTGTAAACTCGACCTTTGACAGCCAGGCTGATGTCGTCACGGTGCCAAAGGTGGCTTAAATTGACATATACCAGTTTGGATTACGTCACTTGAAGATAACTAGATAGCAAATTAGACTAAGATCCCTGGTCAAAAATGTATCCGAAATTTGAGATTACTGGATTTTTTCGAAAAATCTAAACGAAGCAATGAATTTATTGCAACGTGCTGTTTTCGGACATAACATGCAAACAAATAAAGTTGCTTGTGTTGCCATTAGGGGCTTGTAGCTTAAAGGTGCAGTCGAATTGTGCTTTACTCCGCTATGGCATTAACAACAGCCTAAAGGTCAAAATCCAACTTTTACATTTAGAAGAATGATTTATTAGTTGGCACTTTTACGTGCACATTCATGCACTTCATTATGAGCCACACATTATATATATATATATATATATATATATATATATATATATATATATGCTTTATGATAATACCTAATCGTCAGAACGTTACAAAGTTATAGTATGAATTCAAAACAGGGACCCACTTAGTTGTATATATATATATATATGCAAACGGTACACGGATGAGGACGTCGAAACCAGAATCGGAAAGGCAAGGCAGACCTTCATCAATCTGAAATCAGTCTGGAAATATTCTGCACTCCATAGCATAAACAACAAAATTTGGACTTCCAGCAGAAATGTTAAGTCAGTTTGTACTTCTATATGGGCCAGAAACTTGCACTACGCGTCACGAAATGCATTTCCAACAGGCCACTGTAGACTTTCATCAACATCTGCGTTCACTGATTCCATACTGAAGATAAGATGGCCGGCTAGAAAAAATTAGCTACAAGAAACTCTGGGAACGAACCAACTGCTCAACAAATATGCAGAAGAAAAAGGAGATGGATCGGAAACACATTAAGGAGGTCGTCGCCTGACACTGAGTGGAACCCGAATAGAAAACGACGAGCGTACGGGGGTGACATGGAGGAGGTCGTGTGAGGAGGGGATGAGAGACTATGGTCAAATGTGGGGCCAGCTAGAGAGGACTGAAGGTAATAGAACAACATGGAATTTCTTGGAATCCAAGGAAAAAATTATATATATATATGAACAGAACTACTTACTAGAACTTCGTTGCATTCCCTTGAAATATGAATAACACTGGCGTAAAACCCATATTCGAATATTCCGATCATATCCAGCAGTGGCCTTGTATTTGTTTATTTTTTTTAAAAAGAAGCATTCAAATAAAGGAATAAAACACAAAATGAGTAACAATATCCACAGGATGAGTTTCAAAATTTGATAAGCATTCACTCGGATCATAATAATAATAATAATAATAATAATAATAATGCAAAACGGCAGAGGTTAAATTTTCATTCAATATATTATATTGTTTTCAAAAAATACCTCATTAGAATAGCAGAAGGAGTGCTATATGAAGATAAGAATTTATTACTATGACAATCAGTTACAGCATACAATAGATTCAACTTAACATTTAACCCAGTATCAGATAAATTGAGGGAAGTAATACAGAATTTATGGATTTGTAGGTTCGACAGAAGCTCTGGGTAGGCAATAGTGGCTAGCTGGACCTATTTCTTTGACATGCCAAAATTCAGTTGATTTAAAAGAATTGCAATGCCTTCCTGCTGTTCAAAGTGTTCAGTATCTAGAGACTGTTTTGGTAATTTATTCAATACACGATAGATGATAGAGAAAGACTCTTCAATGCTGCTAACTGTGTGGTGGTCAGTTTGGACCAGGTGATCGAGTATAGAACTATTGATGATTTTGTGACAACGCCTTTATTTAGCCACAACACTGGTAGGTAGGTAGGTGTTCCTGAGCACGAAATATTCAGTTCCTAGAGCAAAGGCTAATATAACTGCCTCTCACATGGAGTCATATAACTGTAGAACCTGATGACAAATTTATCGAAAAGACTTCTCATTGTTCATTAGTCAGTCTTTTAAAGGTTTTTTAATAGTCATCTTCAATCTAATGGAAAATTAACTGGCGGACTGAAATACAACAGTTGTTCAGCATACGTCAAAGTCACCAACATAAGAGGGGGAAATTATAAAAACTAAAAAAACAGTGGCAGCATATGTTAACAACACCTTTGAACGGATGCATTCATTTGAATGAGACGTAAAAGTACAATCAGTGATCAGCTTAAAAGATGAGCAACAATTCCTTATGTATTACTAATCTACTACCACATGAACTGTTGTTAGTTTACGTTGAAGCTACTATTCGAACTTCGCTGTCTGTTAAAAGCTTGAGGAAATGTTTCCAGGTATTGATTCGATCTAAAGAAGACAAAGCTAAGATTTAACGGTCCTTCTGAAGATTAGGAACAATATCATGATGACATAATTCTTGTCAGTTCACTGTTAAGACTGGAAGTCTTCAGATCGGATAATATCTACTCTGCATGTCTGAAAACAGTACTGAATAGAATCAAAAGAAGGTCATCTGAACAGCGTTTGCTACTATGTGCTAATGTCCTGCTTTGGGGCTGTCTCTATATACAATAAACCAAACATCTTTTTGGCAGAACTCACTCGTCCTTTATATCAACCACTCAGTAGGCATGTACGGCAGAGATTAGCTTTTTGTCAAAAAATAATTGCCATCCAATTTTAGCTCCAGACTTTTGAAGGTTTATAATAATGATGTCGTATAACTACTGCTGAGAAATCAACGGTGGAACGAGATTTAGACCATTAAACTCGTGAGAACAAATTTCATAATTGATTAATTCACACTAGGTTCGAACCTCAGTGGGTGAGTACTCCTGAAGAGTTCCATGTCTGAGGGACGAAGCATCTCTCTAAATGCTGTCACCTTGTGATCAAACCTGTGACCAATCAAATCCCTGCAAACCAACACTCGATAACACATTTATGTACCATCTAGTAAGATACCAACAGTGTTAGAAATAAAGTTTGAACAGTTAAAAGAGAACCATTTACAATGTCTGAAGACCTAGACTGAATGGCAATTAGATACTGTTTATTCGCGTCTATGTATTCTCCTCATAAATTCACCAAGCACCGACATTATTTTGGTTATATAGCAGACCAAAAGTAGAATTAATGTAATCGTAAAACTTGAGGTGAGTTGGCCATGCTAGACTGTCTAATAAAACGAAAACCCAATGGTGGGTTGGATACTAACATTTGGCAGGAAACCAACACACGCTAATAAATACTTAGACTTTAATTCATCCCACTCGGAATTGGTAAAGGAAGATAGGTTTAGTTGAATATCTGTATAATCGGGCCAAGAGTCTAACTAGTAAGCCAAAAGATTTAAATAATGAAATCAAACAAATAAAGGAAGTATTACTAGTGAATAACTACCCACCAGAATTTATTCAACAAATATATGAAGAAGCATAGAAAAACTAAGATTAGCAATAAAAATCACGAAAATAATATAGAATTCAAAGCCTCTGTAGCGCTGCTATAGAAAGAAGGGACGTCAGGGACACTACGTAGAATTCTCAATGACGCTGGAATTAGGGTGGCATTTAAATCAACTAGTCAACTCTCTCAGTAATAAACTTTGTCAGCTTAAGGACCCAACAGATCCAATTAAGAAAAATAATATAGTTTACCAAATACCATGTAATGACTGTGAGTGGGGTCAATTACATAGGTCAAACTAGTAGATCAGGGTCAACTGGATTATTGGAACATAAAAACTTAGCTAGACCTAGAATAATTGCCCCTGTTATGCTAAATGAGCCAGAAGAAAGCTCAATCACTGCACTGGGCTCTCTTGCATGTAATCACAAAATAGGGTGAGTGGGATAGGGTGAGGGTATTAAAAAGTAACATAGTTAGGTGGAGAGAGAGGTTAACCACTGAGTGATGCAACGCCTATATCGGAGATATGGAAAATGGCAACAAACAACAAAGGGAAGTTGGAGAAACAGAAAGAGAAAAAATATATATAAGACAAATTGTGAAAACGTGTGACTAAATTGATATGATTATGAGCAATAAATTGTGCTCGAAACGTCATCCAGTTGTTAATACTGCATCACTGTGTGATTATTAAAATAAACTTATCTAATATGGAATTACAAAAGTAGAACTATCATTTTTAACAGAGAGGATTTAATCACTGAATAAGCACATTCTGAAGAGTAATAGCTAAGCTGCTATACATTTCATCAGTCTCCCAAAATGGTTCGCGATGTCTCTCTACTTAGATACATGATACAACACTTAAAGCGCATCAATATTTAAGTACTAAACGTGTTACGAGTCAGTAGATACGAGATCCTAGGTACAATTTCTGTGCTTACTTGAGTCTTCCCTAGGAAAATTTGAATACACGTCATTTTAGATAAAAAACCTAAAAAGGTTTTGTCGCCACTGAACCTTTGCAGACAAATTTATCACCAGCTTAAAATTCGTTAGTATCAATCAAAGTTTATCGACTCTTCATATTTAACAAATGTCTGAAGAGTCTTCAGGTGTGAAGAGTAAGATATAAACAGCATTTATGTATAAAATAGGTGGTAATATTTGAAATAAATCAACTCACTAGTAGTCGACCACAAGGTGAAAAACGCATAGCCCATATAGCACCCTAAAACAGAAAAAAATAACCATAAAGTAGGAGATAGTTATTTAAAAGATGAATGCTGTCGTGATATTTTGAAAGATTTTTGCAATCCTATCACCAACAGCCTCATAACCATTGATGCTTAGTATTGTGAGACCGTTACTCAGTCAAGTAGTTTACACCTGTTTATTTGTCTCGAAGCAACATTTAAAGACCTTATGTAGCAGTGATTGACTGACTGACTGGTTTCAACATAGAACTTGGCATAGAAGTAAAGCAGTTCGAGTTGCCACACTCCATGTAGAACACAAACGAAGTAAAAAAAGAGAAAAGGGATTAGAAAGGAAAATAATAAGCACATTTGTGAGGGAGAAAGAATAGTAACGTGAAAAAACACGACGGTTTATTGAATATGAGAGATTGAAAAGAGTGAACACATCTGTGCCATTGAGAATGATTTGTAGCCATATCACCAGTTGTCTCCGCCCATTGGTTCTTAGAATCCGAAGGGCCCCAATCAAGAAGCCTACACGATCCTACGTGGTTCAAACTAGTTGTCAAGGTTGTTATGAACCGATCCCAAGTTTTGGTTTGACCACCACCAGATATTTTCTAACCTAATACTACGCCAGCTACCATTGTCTGTCGAGGAAGGCGATGGCTACACATGCGTAACACATGTCCTAGTCATCTCAGTCGATTGACGTTTCCTCCTTATCTAACACTTGACTCGGTCTCTAACCTTAATGTGACTCACCCTATTATAGAACGCAGACACCTACGATCACAGATAGCTATTCTTTTCATGTCTCCCATATTCAATGGCCATACTCCACAGTTATAAAGGAGGACAGAGCGAACTGCTGAACAGTAAATACTTCCTATGGTCGATGGTCGGACATCACATCTACGCCAGGGATGCCACATGAGACTTTTGTATTCGTGCTGAGATTTCGTCAGCAATCAGCTCGTTGGTGCTAATGTTAGGTAGAAGTACTATGCTTTTGCTCTGATCACCACTAACTATTTTTCAACCTAGTCATTTCTATATCAGTTAACGCTTTTAACTTTAAGCAGAACAGGGACACTATTTTACACAGTAAGAAAAGGTAATTCTTCTTTATTGTGAATAGGGCGGGGTTTATTCTATTGATCGATTGGTGAGTCAGTCAGTGAATAAAACCAGTAGGGAAAAAACTTGAACATAATGAGATAGATTATATCTCCTGATAAATCACAACGATTATTTCTTTGATTGCTATAATGCAAGGAATAGCAATAGGACATATAGTGATAGTAAATTAATGAAATCTGGACCTCGAAAGGCACGTATATAAAACAGTAATAACGATAATCATAAAAACAAAAGTAATAATGATAACGATAGACTGACTACTAGTAAGGAATAGTAAAATAGGACTGAAAATACAACAAAATCTGATGGATATGAGTACTGTTCAACTACTCATGTCAATCAGTCAGTAGTATATAGCTCAGGCTTTTTTGCTTGTTATCTTGATTGCCAATTATCGTATCAAGTAGATCAAATATTGGGATCTTAATAATTTCGGTTCTGAAAGAAAAAAACTGTAGTGAAGCTTCACCTTAAACTTTGTAAATTGCAGACCGTGAATTAACTTGCACATTAGATAAGTTTATTTGATATAACACAACCACTGAGAATGATACAACAGTAGTAACTAGGTGTCATTTAGGGCACAATTTATTACTGCTCGTGATCATATCAATGTGTTCACATAACTTCCTGTCTTACTTATTATAGTCTTACTCCCTACTGCTTTATGTAGCAATTTATCCACATATCTAATATAAGATATTTGAAGAAGGTTACACAAAAATAGCAGGTTAGGAAGTCGCATTGTAGCGTGTGCTACTGACACGATTTATCAGTATTAGATGGTTGGAGGGAATCGGCAGGAAGCCCAGTCTGATCTAGGTTTCGTGCTAGCTGGCACTCATCAGCAAGGCGTATCTGCAACCTTAAAGGAACTCATGTCCCTTCTGAGATTCAAATCCACGTCACCCAGTGATGCAGTCAGAGACGTTACCACTGAGCTATTCAGACTCGCCATTGACCTGCTGTAGGACTGTATTGGATATTTTTGACTGGACATTAGTCAGTAACTACTGTAATGTGTCTAGTCCTATCTTTGGTGCAGACTCAGTTCTATCAATCAGGCTTCCTACCTCCAACCATCATATAACAACAGTTCACTGTGCGCCATGATGGCGAGCCACCTAGCATGGTGGTCACATTGCAAGCTTGACTGACAGAATTCAGTATGCACCAAACAAAGGAATAGACACACTACACTAGTCACTGACTGGTGTCCAATCAAAAAGACTTATCACTAGTATAGGAGGACACGTTCATCGGCATAAAAATATCAAATGGCAGGGAGATAAATTTGATGTCAAAGAAAGCAAATGATACAGCGTTGCGGAGAAACATGGGAGACGTGAAAGGAACACAAAAAAACACAATATGAAGGCGAGAAGTAGTACAACACGGGAGATCTACGCAAATGGTGGTTTAAAGATAAGGTGTACATAATTTCGCTATATAAAGATACCATACTGCTAATTTTCCAAATCAACATTCCTTTACCAGGTCTCTAGTCTTCTACGGTTACAGTATGACATTCATGTGATTATGAACAATAAATTGTGCTCAAAACTTCTTCCAGTTACTAATACTGGATCATCTACTGTGTGCTATATCAAGTAAACTTATCTAATATGGAGTTATATTTCACGACAGCATCGAAATTCCATTCTTGGGTGAATTAATTTGCAAATTGTGAACATGATTTAACGCATCATCAGTTCGCCAAAGTAGCTGGTTACAATTCAGATGGTTTGGACTGATTCAGCTCTTTGACCTGAATCACCACTGATGAGCTCGGCCCAAATCAGAGATCTGACGGGCTGGCTGGCTAGCAAGCACCACTGGTTGATGTGAATGGCATCGAACTACTCATCTCAATCAATCAATCCTATGTGCAGTGTCTAAGAATCTCATGGATTTTGAATAAAAAGTAATAACCTCTCTCCTTTCCGTGAAAGACCTAGTACGGCCAAGAATGGTTACACCTTGGTCTTCCTCTTCAAGTTCTCTCATATGGCCACATTTTCATAGCCAACCTCTTCCAGATAAGTCGGATTCACTGGCTTCACAGGGCTGGGGACGCTCTCCACAAAAGCGAAAGGGGAAATCAGAACATCTGGAGTTTATGATCGGACTGTGGGACACACAAGTTCGTCTAGAAGAGCTGGAAAAACCCTGATTCCAAATCTGTGGTGTACATGCGCGCCACAATCTTAACAGATGGAATGACATGTATGAATTCGTTTTGATCACCGGAAACCATAGGAACGTCGTTCCTGACGCTGCCCCACAACACTGTGGATCAAACTTCAAGTATAAAGCACTGAAGATGGCCTTCTAGACAACCGCCTGCTTGTCTGTTTGTCTGGGAGGGATGAGTACTTTTGCGACCCATCTCTTCGTGCCCATAATGCATTAATTTTGTTTTAAAACATAAATAAACTCCCACCACCACATATTCCATTCAAAAAATTAGTAACAAACTCGACACTTTTAAAAATAGTAATTCAATTCATTTTACCGTCCTTAAAACTAATTCCATGTGATTTATCCACCCTAACCAATACAGGATTATGACGAAGTACAGCTATTTTAACATACTTTCGCACCATACTATGGAGGAAATTTATTCATGTTCCCAGTGGAATATGGGACTTCAAGATTTGAAGTTTCAACAGCGGTAGTATTTTATTTTAACTGTGTGAGATTGCTAGCCTCACGCTCAACATTCCCTCTTTTCCAAACATACTGCTGCTGGCTAAGCGAGGTTTAGGAGCGCGTCGGTGGGAAATCGAACCTGCACTACTTGCGTGGTTCGGCAAGCACTCTACCACTGGACAACAAACGAAACAACATTATGGAGGTTAAGTTACCTGAATTAGGATGAATTAAACACAAAAAGGACAGAGGAGTTATCGATACACAGTAATAGTAGACACTTTTACAGCAAACGACAAAGTACGATATACGGATAGATCAATGATTCATACATTCACAAGAGAGACATCTTAAATGACGGGCAGAAATCCTCGACGAATAGCTCCGAGGAACTTTTAACTGCTTTGTTTTCAGTTACCTACTATCCAGTAGCAGTCACAATGAGAGATTAATTCAGTGCCGCCAGTTTTCATTGAAGTTAAGAAAATGATAAGAAATCCGAAACAGAAGAGAGAGAGCAGCTTCCATTTTTTCGATTAACATTGTTTATTTAATTGTAAGAAGTCACAAACTGCATTTACAATAATCTCTGAATCCCCAAGAGTAGGTTTGTAGGGATTCGACTTGTATTAAGTTTGATCACGGATTGATATGAATTAAAGAATCATTGGCAGAAGTAAGAATTCACGGGCCATTGGATCGGGTCTCAGGGGCTGAATGGTCTAGAGGGTTCCGGGTTTCGAACCCCAGTGGGTGATGAAGAGTCGTAAATTAGGACGAAACGGCTGTCTATTGCTCCCTGGTTCTTTAACTGACACCAATCTATGACCAAACTTGAAACAAATCTACGAATCACTGCGTTGGGTTGCAGGGATTTGATTTTACCTACAAGTTTAATTACGAGCTGATATCAGTTAGAGAACCATTAGAAAACCAGGGAGTACTGGACAGCTGTTTCGTTCTCGGAGTTTGGAACTCTTTAGGGACGCGCACTGAATCAGGGTTCGAACTCAGGAACCTTCAGGTTATAATATACGAGCGCCCGTAGACCATTCAGCCACTGGGATAAGCAAAATTACATTACCATAACTTACAGTGTGTTCATTTTTCATTTCTTGAACTAGTTTGATTTGAAGGAATTCACGTCTTCCTCTTGCCTGTCTAGATGATCTTAACTATACAGAAAATAAAGAAGACAAGGATAAATTAATCAATAAGCTACAGTGAAGATACATTCTTCATTCTGATATTCCTTAAACTATTCAATCCAATACGTATATATGGTTTCTGAAAACACATTATGCATTTTTAAAACCACAGTTGAAAGTATTAATAGACAGAACGTCTTTGTATTTACTATAATAAACATGATAAAGTAAGACTCCAAACACTTGTAAACAGTCGGAGTACAAAACATTTACATACGATATGAATTAATCGCTAGGGAAGGCTTCATTTAGACACTCGACTTCAAACCGGTGGGTCACGCGTTTGAAACCCTCTCCATCTAACGAAGTTTGAGCAGTCAAGTAGGAGGATCATTAACCCTTGCAATATGTCAGCTGTACGTAAGTCTAGCTTCTACTACTACTTGTTCTTCATTCAGACAGCATTTGTAACTAGTCTCCCAACAACGTTAACCCTGTCATTGTCAAAAATGCGGTGTAACACCTCAGCCTAGCATATAAAGGTGACACAACAGCTGGAATTCTTAGAAGCAGATTATCGGGAGCGATTCGAGAAATAGTCTTCGCCGTCTCTTTACTTCTCTCCTTTTCCACACAACCTCTTATCCATCAAAATTTCGCAGATAATGTTCCACTGTTGGCAGCATCCATATGTGCACATATCAGTTCACTTGCTCCTGCGGAGCTAAATACATAGTTAGGTATTACTCAATTGCTTAATACTGGGCTATGAGTCGTATTCATTGTGTGAGTTAATGATACAACTCAGTTGCCCAGGCAGAAGTAGGTGAAGAGCGACCATACATAGACTGTATTATTATTGTTTCCATTAGTGCCTAAAGGAACATAGGGCTTCAGCCACAGGTCTCCATTGCATTCACTTCCCCGGCAACGTTTCCACCTGGCTCTTTTATCTCCTCTTCAAATCACCTCTTACATGTCACCCTCGCACTGACGACCAACTCGCCGCTTCCCTTTCGGGTTCCACTCGAGAGCCTGGCGTGTGATGTCCCTTGATGGTTTTCTCAGAGTATGGCCTTCAATCCAACTCTATTTCTGGGTGCATATTTGTTGCACAATTGGTTCCTGCTGGGCTGGTTCGCTCCCAGAGATCTCTGTTGCTGATCTTCTCTGGTCGGCCATCTGATCTTGAGTAGTATTGAGCGAAGACAGCTGTTGATGAAAGTCTGTAGTTTGTTCAAAGTGCTCTTTATGACGCACCAAGTCTCTGATCCGTATAGTAGCAATGACTTCACATTGGAGTTGAAAATTCGGATCTTATTTTTCATGCTGAGTGCTGTTGACCTCCACACATAGACTGTACCAGTAGGATATTGTCTAGACGTAAACAAGAACACCATCCAATATGGTTGTCAAAAGAAGAGACTAGATGAACCAAATAGCTAGATATACTTGAGCACCTGATTGGTGCACATTATTCTGCATAGATAACGAAATCTTTCAAAGTGATATATAAGGTATGGGGCCAAGTGGATAGTAGGGTTTCCTTGTGTGTTGTAACACATAAGGAAAACCATGAACTGTAGTATACAAAACCGATTTGACCAATTCCCATTTTACTACTCTGACCTTAAACCCTCTTCTGACTTGCACAACGATTTGATATGTGGTCCGTATTCATTTGTTTTTCTCTTCTTTCTTTTCAAACTCCTAACTTCAAAATATACTTCAAGTATATTCTGAATCTCCTATACTCTTATGAACAATATGCCTGTTTCTATGCCCCTACAGTTTTCAATGATAATAATTTCTGAGCGATACTCATAACTTATTGTTTTCAGATTACGCAAGACTATTTAACTAAGTTCCGTAATTTTATTCATTATTTCTCATAATATGTAGTTTCATATAATTCGTTACGAACTGATATCCACAAGTGACCTTTACAGGCATTTCCAAGACCTTTCAGAACAACATATAACTGTACAACTTTGAGGTGAAGGTATTTATTTTAAATTTTATTCCTTTACATTCCTAGTGGAATATTTTGGCTTTAAGCTAGAGGTTTTGTGGTGAGAGCTGGCTGCTAGCCAAATTGGTAGACAGTAATTTACGTCAATGTTTACGTTCCCAAGACTTGTCGTGAGAAAATATGAACAAGACTGATTCAAAACCGATCACAGCAGACTTTGCGTAGGCGGATACAGTTAACATATAGATGATTTGACATTCAAGAAACAGTCACAAAGAGATGAAAGATTAACTTTCAGTGAGAAACAACCAATCAGAAGACTGTGTTTTTCTGCTAACAATAATCTATAATAATGTACATGAAAAGCTATAAATATGTGTTGATTTCCTTAATAAGCGATCTGTTGCCTGGCCCTTGTCTTCTGTTGTTACAGTTTGACGTGTCGGTAGCAGTGGTGTTTATTTTTAGGGAATGGGATGGCTAGCGTCATGCAAACCTTCCCTCTTTACCAATCTTGTTACCGGCTTAGTAGGGCAAAAGAGTTCGTCGGCCGAGGACCAAACACCAAACCACATATGCGTGATTGGCGTGCATTCTACCGCTGTGCCACAGAATTGAAGTGAAGCTACGAAAAGAATATTCTTTGGCGGCTTATGGTCTTTTGAATTTATAGAAATCGCGGAAAAACAGTGAAAACTACTTCTACTTAGGTAACAAAACAGTAAGCGGAAGTAACTGCCAGCTAAATTTATTATTCACAGCAAACGATCACTGAGTAAGTACATCCATCTTAAATGTAATTCAAGTGGTGGTTTTCAGGGATTTGACTGCCTACACGATTTCATCATGAGCTGACATTGGTTAGAGCACTATTGGAAAACTTGGGAGTACTGGACAGCTGTTTCGTCCCCAGAGTTTGGGACTCTTCGTCAGCAGGCTGGGTTCGAGTCCCGGTTTTCCAATGGTTCTCTAACCAATGTCAGCTCATAACCAAATGTAATCGACGGCCTAAATACATCAGTGGAACTGAGTAAAAGAAAAGAAAGGATTAAGGGGAAGCTAGCCACCGCAATTTCTGAACATGTCCTAAAAACTTTTCTATCTTAGCAGATAGAAAACCAGAGTTTTCAAAATGCCGAAGCGCACATAGTGTGGCAGACAGACTTTGCTTATTAGAGGCTATTGTAATCAAACTTCTCCCATCTTGTTTATGGAATACGAAAATACAGTATGCTGTTCATTATCCATTACGCTGAGAACGGTGTCTTCATCATTTTGTTGCATGACATGATTTTTATTTCCCAACATTTTTTATTTCTTTTCTCTGCAGAGAAACCTTCCTTTTTAACTTAGTTTTACATCCTACAGCTATATCATGCATAAATAAATATTGCTTCGTTTAAAAGCATATCAAGCACTGAGAAATTTCCATTAACCTTGAGTATTTAAACTACATCACATTGTTAATAGGCATCAACGGCTCGGTAGCAGAATGTTCGCAAGCCACGCAAGAGGCCCAAATTCGATTCTCGGCCAACTCACTTCCAAGCCTCACCTGGTTAGCAGTAAACCCGGAAAAGAGGGGAGGTTGGGCTAGTAACCCCATCCAATGAAAATAACCCTACCGCCTTTCTTTCTACTCAGTTGCCGACGCATCAAAGTTGAATGTTTAAACCACCTGGCCTCAATTCTACAAGTAAACTAAAACCTGATAGTGTCATATTCGACTAAAATTAAAAATTTCTTATCGACCTAAAATTACCATTCTGCTGTAAAGAGAGTTAAAGACATTGAGATCATACTAGAATACATCGAATAAAATGCCAACTCAATAGACAGTTGTCCACGTTAGCGATGAAAATAAAAACACAACTTACACGAATACCTTGATTTCCAATAACCTCTTCATCTTCATCAGACGACTCTTCGTCTGGATTGAAAACTAAAACAAAGAAAATTAACACAAAAATGAGAAGAATATAACTATTTTACAGGAAAGGGTTATAATGACGCTGCAAAGGAAATGAATTTTAGGAAGACGATGCCAATAGTGAAACACACAAAATATATTGAACATTAAAGTTGTGGTGAACAATTTTTTTTTGATTACAGCTTCATTCTACACTGTATTTTTTGGTACAGGTATGGAATTTTCAGCATGTGATATCGGTAGCCCAAATTTTGCAGGCCGACCATAGATATCAAGTGTGCGCCGGCAGGGGATCGAACTCCGGACCATGTGCATGGTCGCCGAGAATCCTAACCACTGTGCCAACGACGCACAACTTGAAAGCTTGATCATCAGTACAAAACGATAATTCATTCGATGCTCCTGGTACATTTTTACACACATACACACATTTCAGTTTCTCAGAAAAAGGAATGTTTACCTCAAGTTTTGTATTAAAGTTCGAACCCATATATTATAATGGTTCACCGACTTGTTATTGCAACCAATAGCACATACAGACATACTACCTGCGACACATTGAAATAAGCAGTCGATTTGCAATCTATCCGTCAGACGTTTAAGCAAAACGTTAACTACCAACGTTTAGGCAGCCGCCAAACAGTATCATTATCTTTGTGTGTTAACACTTGTTTCTGCCCTCTCACTTTATGTTTCTTTTGTCAGCAATGACTCTCTGTATAGCAGCATAAGTGATTTCCAGGACAGCAGAATTAATTTCTCCTTAGGCTTAGAGGTGGAATGCTCGACAACCACATACGTGGTTCGGGGCTCGATCCCCGGCCGGCTCACTCCTTTACCTCGCTAAGCCAGTAATAAGACTGGTATAGAGAGAAGATTGGGCATGAGACGATTAATCCCATCCCGTAAAAGTAAAAAACACCATTGGTACAGAAACTTCAAGCCTGTACCCTGAAGCCCTATGTTCCACTGGGAACGTAAAGGAATAAATATAATAATGATATAATATAATGAACTTGACGCAAGTTCGAGTCTCTGAGGTGACATAAGTTTCGTTGAGGTTGCAGATACACCTTATTGGTGAGTGCCAATGAATATGAAACTTTAGTTCAGGGCTTCGTGTCGATCGTCTCCAACTATCTCGGTCTCTATGTTAACATGTTAGCTACTGGTATGGATGTTTCGACGATGTCTGGGGATTAATGTCATGCTACTTTCGTTGATGATGATTGACTAGCAATGGAATCCAGGATGCGCATTTCGTCCTATTTGAGATTCATCAGTTGAACGTGCCTGCATTCGGCAGTGAGTGGTGATGGTGTTCCCACTGCGACTCGAACCTTGCACCTATCGTTTCAAACGCCAAAGTATCATCTGCTGGGACACTAGGGTTATGAGAGCCACCTATTGTTCAACAGGTATCAGTTATTATTTGTGTTGTGCAGGGTTCAGAGGGAACACCACTACTCAATGGAAATGAAGACACATCCAGATGATGAGTATCAGAGAGGACGAAATGTGCATCCTGGATTCCACCGCTAGTTATCATCATCTAAAGTAACTGAAATGTTGTCCACTTATAAAAGTGTGTCTGTAACAGAGTATCAAAGCAACACAAAGCAACAATGACAACATTGAATAATGGATTAACTTACTCTTATTTTTAGTTGCAGATTTCATTGCACTTACAGCGCCACGAAAGTACTTTTGAATTTTCAACATTTTACTGAATTGAAAAATAATAATGAAGAGAAGAAAAAAGATTAGTTTTATTTCAAGTTTGATCACGAGCTGACATCCATCAGTTAGAGGACTGTTGGAAAATCAGGTAATACTGGACAGCTTTCTCGTTCTAGTTTGGGACTCTTCAGCATTACGCACCTACCACCGTTTGAACGCACGACCTACCGGTTACAAAGCAAGCTCGTAGATCATTCAGCCAATAGAGTGGAACCCAATGACCCATCAATTCTAACTTCTACCAAGTTGGTTGTGCGAACAGATTCTCATCGGTGATATTGGCTGGCCTTCGCCTTACATGTCACGAAGAACTCTTAACGACAGTAATCTCGAACTCATCTTTTCTACACGACCGGTTGTGATTTGGAAAGTGAAAAGTGAAGTATCTAGGCTAGCATCTATCAATCTATCAACTGATCCTGTGGAGCCAGTTATATTGGCCGTTTCTCTAGGAACTTAATTTCTCGAGCTCATGAACACATACTTACCAGTGTGGCTAAATATTTTTTTCAGTCTTTTGCGTTCTAAGTGCAGCATAGGGTTTCAAGCTTTATGCTTCGAAGTCCCAGCACCAATGGCATTTTCTTTTACAAAATAGGCTTGCTAGTCTCACGCCTAACCCTCCCTCTTCATTGGACTTACTACCGGCTAAGCAAGGTTCAGCAGTGGGTCGGCAGGGAGTCAAGTCTGGAGCAAACACTACCAAAAAACCACCGATGAATGTCTCTAAATAAAGATGTAATAAAAAGGATATTTTTACTTCAAACAACTGCATATACAGTTTAAAAATAAACTTGTATCTATTGTATAGTAATGGAAAACTAGAGAAGAAAATCAGTGAACAGTGCTGTCCTTTTCCGTCTCCTGGCTACGTTAGTTTTAAGACTTTGTGAAAGAAATATAGCTCTAATAATTCGCTGCAAAAGGGAAAGACGTCAATGTATCATACCTATACTCAAACAGAAAAGACATAATTGCCAACTTAGCACTGAAGAGCAAAATGCATTGAAGAAACTGAAGAATAGAAAAGATATAGTTATTCTACCGGCTGATAAAGGAAGAACGACAGTAATCCTGGACACAGAAGACTACATAAAGAAAGCAGAGGATTTACTCAAAGATAATAATGTATATCAACAGCTGACAAAAAACCCTATACAAACATTAGATAACAAAATCAAAACAACGTTAAATAAACTAACGAAATCAGGACAAATTACAGAACAAGATCAATGGCGAATGAAATCTAACGGACCTATTTTACCTCGATTCTATGGTAGACCGAAACTACACAAACCAAATATTCCCTTACGACCAATCGTTTCGCTTCCAGGAACACCAACATATAATCTATCTAAAGAACTTTTCAGGAAATTAAATTACCTAACAGAATCATGCGACCATTCTATCAATTCGTCAATCCAATTTTTAGAGAAAATCAAAAACATTCAAGTAGAAGACAATGAAATAATGGTGTCCTTTGATGTCACAGCATTATATACTTCAATTAGTCCAAAACTAGCAATAGAAACTATGCAACAATTACTCTATAGTGATGAAAACACAAAAACACAATTATCAACTTGGATAGAACTCATAAAATTATGCCTTACAACATACTTCCAGTTCAATACTCAAATATATGAACAAATAAAAAGAACACCAATGGGATCGCCCATATCAGGATTAATAGCTGAAGCCGTTATGCAAAGATTAGAATTAATAGCTCTACCTATAATTAAACCGAAAATCTGGATACGTTACGTTGATGATACATTTGTAATAATTAAGAGAAGTGATTTAGAATATACTCATAAATTAATAAACAACATATTTGAAGACATCAAATTCACGAGAGAAGAAGAATTAGATAACAAAATCCCATTTTTAGATGTCTTAATCAGGAGAACCAACACAGGAGATTTAGAGACACAAGTTTATAGAAAATCAACGCACACAGATCAAATACTCAACTATACTAGCAATAATCCAGTTACTCACAAACGAAACTGTGTGCAGACATTGTTTAAAAGAGTTCAGACACATTGTAGCACTCCAGAGTTGAAAAGAATGGAAGAAAAGTACCTACAAACGGTCTTCAAAAAGAATGGTTATCCACAAAATTTCATCAAAAAGTGTTTAAAGTCGAATCAAAACACCAACAAGAAACCATCATCAAAGACCACAAGAAAATTCATTCTACCATACATGAGGAATATCTCTGAAATAGCAGCCAGAATACTGAAACCGTTGGATATAAATATAGCACACAAACCAGTAAAATCGCTTAATTCGATATTATGCAAACCAAAAGATCCAACAGAAAAAGGGGATAAAATTAATACCATCTACAAAATAAATTGTATGAACTGTAACAAGCATTACATCGGCCAAAGTGGGCGTCCCCTGCGAATCAGAATCCAAGAACATAAATCAGCCGTAAAAAGACATGATATGTATTCGTTAGTATCAATGCATGCAGACAACTATGGTCATCAGTTTGATTGGGATCACGTCAAAATCTTAAACAGAGGAAACACGAAAAGTGCCAGAGAATTCCTAGAAGCCTGGTACTCAAGCGAAAATGCGATTAACAAACACGTTAATATAGATGAAATATACCAATTAATAAAAAGTAAATCAGGTGACCAAAAAGTTTAAAATCCTAGTCAATAGAAAGTGGTCAATACATATGTGAAGATAGTAACCAGGAGACGCAATTACATCACGCATGAAGAAATTTAAATCATTTCACTCTGTGCTAAATATGGCGCTGAAGATGTTGTCCGGAAGGACGACGAAAGCTTCGCGACTAAACCAACCAGCTCAGAGAACACTTTTAATTGCAAATCATCCACCTGAGCTACAAATCTTCTCTATTATTTCAAAGGGAAAGACTATAAATACCTTAACGTGTCTTAAAATACGGAAAAAGAAGACTTATTCAACTTTCATTTAGCGCTCAACTGACTATTCAACACGTTTTCATGACTAAGAAAAATATAACACCGAAAAAATCAAGTCCCAAGGGATGTCCGTCGGCGGTTCAGAGGTAGAATGTTTGAAATGACGCACATGGTCCGGGGTTCGATCCCCGGTTGACGCACTTCTAAACCTAACACTTAGGTGGTAGTATGTCCGATAAAGGGGGAAAGGTTGGGCGTGATTACCCCCTACTACTGAAACTTCAAAACTCAAGTTTGCGGCCTTGTGTTACACTCGGAATGCAAAACAATAAAAATATGAAAGAATAAAAATAAAACACAATTACAGAGATTTACTCCCCTAGAATTACCACCCCCGAAAGGAATAAAATGTTACAAAAAGTAATCAATAAACTAACCCTAATACGCCAGTTGAATTTAGTTCACATGTAGTCGAGAAATCAGTTGACTGTTCAGTCAACGGAGTGAGTGGAAGACTTGAATTGCTGAGGAAAGAAACAATTATGAATCACCAACAAATTGGGAAATACAAAACAAGTAGTAGTAATATACATTTCTGTAAATAAAATCTCATGGGTTAAATACTAGAATGAATAGAGTATTATTTATTCACTAAAAAAAACTAATCTGCAGCTTATTTCATAACTAAATAAACTAATAAATAACTAAATAACTAATTTAATCTACTACTGTGTGGGCGGTTAATACTTTCCGGTTGCCTACACTATCGAAGTAGATTTCTTCTCGGGGTACCTGAAACAGAAGGAGTATTAGTGTTGCGTAACTGCAAAGCTCAAGAGACAACTGCTTGACGCTAGTCACACACACCCACGGCCTGTTTGAAGTGGTTTTTGGAGTTGTGTCCATATTAAGTTCTTACTGCCGCAAGGTAAATTGGGATGTACACCTTTCAGGGTCGATATTTTCTACCCCACCCCACTTCTCCAGAGTGGAGAGGCAGTATATCTGGCATACTAGTGATCATCTTCAGGGGAACACCTTACTGCTATTACATTCCTATTCTCTAGAGATGCGAATTCACCCAGAGACCCCCAACATAGCCTGGACGACATACACTACGACGGTAAATGCTTTTAGTTTAACCGGTTTTGGGGATGGTAGGACCTGCAGGAAAATTAGTTTCAGACAGTGTATTTCGTTAGGACATTGCAATATGCCAGCTCGACCACCACGTCAAGGTAGCAGCTATCAGTTTCGACCTCTAACTGTTTCCTGGAGGCTGTATAACACCGGATTCTACAAACGCTACGGCCTTTTGTATTTTTTAAAGCAAAAGACTTTCTGTACCTCAGTATAGACGTCTACACTACGGCACACTAGGGTCGCCCTAGGCTGAGGTAGGTGGAGCGGAACTCGAACCCAGGACCCATTGGCAGTAAATCGACTGCTTGAACCAATGACCCACTTCGCCACTCCTGATGAGAAGAAAGTTTTTTATTTGGTTGTGTTCTGTAAGCTGGTTAATTTAACTGCGAAGCTTTTGTTGTCCCTCTAGACAACATGACTCGTTCACATTCACGGTTGACCATACCGACTTGAGTGAGAAAATCATCATTTTTATTCATGACTGACTTAAGAAAGAGATATCCAGAATTAAAGAGGTGTGAGTGATCATCAAATTTTTGTCTTAATGTCTGCAGTGTGGCGACAAAAAGTGCAATCACGTGGGTTTTGAGGCAGAATTATGTTGCAATATTGGTCGAATTCAGATGGACCCAACTTTCGAAGAAAGAGACGCACTTTCCAGGAATCATCTTGGCCAGCCAAATCTATCCTGAAATTGTCATATCACCTGAACCAAGTATCAAGTGTATAACTGACATCAGGACCATAGTGGAATTCATTAATGTTATTCTTAATTCCATCTACTAAAGGGGCTATTACAACCTGAGTAGCCTGGGATGATCCGACACTAGAAATTTTTGAGTGAGTAAGCAACTCAATAGTTTTCATTTGTCGTTCGATAAACCCAGCATACCCATCGCAATTTTTACATTTTCGTCTTTATCCAGCCGCTATTCAAGGGAGAGTTTTAAGGAATCGATAGAAGAATAAAAGGAAGACGAAATTTGCAGTATACAATGATATCATTCTATTTCACAGGTTCTCATCAGCTGCAAACTACCTGAAATTACAATGGTTATATAGATGATAATAACATACTTTAATGTTTAAGTGGTAGTAGAGAAGAAATACTATATAACTGACGCTTCCAAAATGAAAGCATTACAATTTTTAGTTTAAGCGTTCATCATCGATTTATACGCTTTCAAAGTTGAAAAGAGGGGGAAGGGGTAAAACAGAAAACAGAAAAATTAATTAATTTAACTTAAACATTAAAGTATGTTATTATCATTTATATAATCATCGTAATTTCAGGTAGTCTGCAGCTGATGAGAACCTGTGAAATAGAATGATGGTATCATTTTATACTACAAATTCGTCTTCCTTTCTTTATCGAAATTTATCAAGGGAACCAAATGTATGAAGAATAAAAGGCGCATTAAAATCTGTGCTTTGCTGCAGCAAAACACATGCAGCACCACTTGCTTAATAAACCTATCCAAACTGGTTAAGTACCCAGTTGATTTCACCTGTTTGTGGATTTACATGCACTTGCGGTAACAAGCAGACGGAAAAATCTGAACATATCTCAAGAAATTTGCGCCAAAAAGGAAGTAAATACTCTAAACAGTGCAAATGCCAGACACTAGTATATATGGGATATTTACTTAACATCACTAAATCCTTTAAAATATTGAATGTACATTGGATGCTGGGATTACTACTGTTTACCAAAGCAGGTGTAATAAAACGTTTTCAACTGAACTTATGCACACAAAAGAGTTTAATCAATCTCTCATTCGATTTCGGCTACGATAGTTGTATAACTGTTTAGCTCACTGAACGGATCTTAATCCTAAGATCTGGAAATATTTGAGTCATTGTACAACCGTGTAAGCTAGTATTCACTTTTTCTTCTGTTGTCTCCCCTCCTCCCTCACTCGCTTTACATTTCCTGGATTTTCTTATTTCCCAATGCACATAAAAATGGATGATAACTTGACTTAGAAATTGTAATGTTAAATTTTTCAATACTCAGGATTTCAAATCCCGTAATTTATCAGATTTCTTCTAATTTTTAGTATGAACATTTAAGGTATTTTGTTTCCAGTCTTTTATAACCCTGGTAACTTCGAATTTCTTTCAATCCTTTGCATTCTTAGTAGCAGGGGATTCAAGATTTGGAGTTTTAGTAACGGAGGTGTTATTTCCACGGGGTGGGGTTGCTAGCCTCACGCACAACCTTCCCTCTCTACCAGGCTTACTACAAGTTAAGAAAGGTTTAGGAGTGAGTCGGTGGGGAATTGAACCTGGACCATGTGTGTGGTTGGTGAGAATCCTGCCGTTGAGCCAATAAGAAGTTGGCGCACTTCTTGGTGCCCTAAACCATACTCAGTTTGCTTTTTAATAAAAATATACAGGAAATTTAATTATGATAAAACGTAATCACCAACCTACCTTTTTGTACGATCACGGAATTGTATCTCTATAGGATTGACAAGCTGTTTTTCACTATTCAGTGTAGCTGAACACGACTTTACCATTTTATCACCACCGCCACCACCACCTCCACCAATAGTACCATCACCACCGGCAGCAGCAGCAGCAATAACCAATAGTAGATCTATTCCCCGATGTCACTGTATTACAATATCTATCCCCATTGAATAATGTTCCTTCATTTCCCACTTGACTACTTCTTTCATTCAAATTTAAATCAGTTTGTACACTAGTACTAACTAGTCTGAGCGACTGACGGGAACACAGATCTAAAGGCTCACCAGTTCGATTGTAGGTAGTGGAAGTAGTAGCAGTAGTAGCAGAGGCAGCAGCAGAAATAGTCGATTGTGGGAACATGGATTCATATTGTGAATGATTAAATGCTGTGCTATATAATGACTTGATAGCAGTCGAGTCCAGTTGGTTTGTTGGATGTGACGGGAGATTAGTATTTGCTATATCCATTTATGTATTTATTTAACGAAGAAGGAAAAGGCGTTGATTAACAACTGCGTCTAATAATTATCTGAACGAATTAAAATCACTAGAGAAAATATAAGATAATTGATTGGTATCACTCAACAACCAGTCACAGTCCGATGCAGCTGGCAATAAGCCACACTTATTGTGTAAGGGCTGGTGATACTGGCCGACTGCTCGAACCTCCGTAGGTGGAGTAAGATTCCAACCCATGACCCTACTGGTCAGAAGTCGAACGCCTAGACCAATGCGGCCACAGCTCCACAATGTACAGTCCTAGCTAAATTAAATGGGAATCTCCAGCACATACAACAATATTCGCATAACATATCAACATAAAGCAGCATAATAGCATTGACAGAAAAGAGTCGTATGTAAATCCTCACAGTTTATATTAAGCTAACTCATTAGGAATCTCTTCGCTAAACCAATCAGGAATACACATAGGTTAACATTTTTACAGAATCAAAGAAGTTCTAATAATCACAGATATAGAAGCATAACAGACGGTTATCTGCATATAATGACGAAACATTAAAGCAATAACAAATGTCTCCAGAACCGAGAATATGCGTTCACATCTATTGATATATTTCTTATGATAGAATACCATTTAGGCAATAACGTACCTTCGGTAAATTCTCATCAGGCTTTGCATTTAGATAACGAAATATTAGTCGTAGGCATTTGAATTAATGTGGTTAATAAAATATAGGATCAGAGTTCAGGGATGTGAATTAATCGATAACAATCGAGGTGATCATCATAATAGTAATAATAAGGATAAATTCATTCAAGTGTTTATATAATCTGGGCAACGGTGAGTGTATAGGTAGAATGTGCATACTTGGTAGGGTTAGAGGGGAAAAAACTATCGTCACACAGCCATTAGATAATATAATAAGCGTGATAATAATCATCATAAATTGTGAAACCGATAGTAAAATGTACAACTACAGCACAGCATGATAATGACAATGAAGTTAGTTGTACAAATAAAAATAATATTTACAGTTATCTGGTGTCACCGGAAGAGATAGCTATTTTAAGTTGGGGCGGAGGCCAAATGAGGGAGAGATATTGGACATGTTTGACATCAGCAGCGGAACATGTCTGTAGATTATGTCTAAGAGAAGAATTACTGTGAAAGCTGTTCGGAACGCTTTTGATGATGCGCCAAATTTCTCACTTATGTAACAGAAGTGGCTTAACATTACTTTTGGAAATTCGAATTCCGCTCTTTATGCTGAGTGCGGTAGATTTTTAAACCGATTTTAGAGTGATATAGGCATACCTTGCATTTCCGATTCTGGCTTTGAAATCCTCATCTGTGATGTCAGCTATATTTGGAAGGATACTGCCTGGCTAGATATGTAGAGGGGATGACATCTCTTTCGCTGATCGTGATTGGTGTTTGTTGTTGGTTGGTTGGCAATTTTCACTACCTCCATCTTCTCAGTATTCACTTGAAGTCCCGTCTTCGCTGCCTGTATCTTCAGGCAGTTTGTTGGTTTTCGAGTTTATGTGACATTTGACATAAATCGTCCACGAAGACGAGATCTTCTAGTCTTCTCATCGGTCCAGCGTCTTCCCATCGTCTCGCTTCCCAAAGCCTTCTGCATAGTCCAGTTCACTACAATTAGAAATATCATTAGTGATAACAGGCAGCCTTGTCTAACTCCTGTATTCACATCAGAGGTTTCGCTGTGTTTTCCGTTGTGGACCACCTGACATGTGCCACTGTCATATAGCCAGCTGTTGAATGAGGTTGATAAAGATCTGGGCACTGCACGCCGTAGTGTTGAAGCAGTTTCCAGATTAATTCACGGTCAACGCTTTCTGGTGAAGGCCTTCTCGAAGTCGATGATTGCCATTCTATGCTTTCTTAGGTGACGATGTGTAGAGTTGCAATTTGATTAGCACATTATTGGCCTTTACTCAATCCAACTTGCTTCAGGCCGAGTTCTGCATCCAGTGCTTCTTTTATCCTTTGCAGCATGACAAGACTTGGTACTTTACTTAGCGTGTATGGGAGCATTATTCCACGCCAGTTCTTCCAGAGACTTAAGTCGACCTTCTTTGGCAGCTTGACAAGGTAGTCAGTCTTTCTTCCAATCGGTAGGTACCTTTCCATCTTTCCAAACCTTTTGCAATAGTGGCGTCAGCATAGCCACCACAGTCTCTGCATCCGTTTTTAGTAATTCAGAAGGAATTTTGTCTGGTCCTGCTAGCTTCTCGCCTGCCTTTCAGTAGCTTGATTCCATTCAAGACTTCTGCTTTTGTTGAAAGATTGGTATCCACTGGCAGTTCTGTGGCTGTAGATGGTATTTCTGGACGAGTTTCACGTGATGGTCGGTTCAGGTGATCAGTCAATGGTTTTATTGTCTACCTTTCATCGGTTTCATTTGTGTTGATCTCTTTCTGGATAGAGATCTGGTAATCTGATATAATCTAACATACATTGTAGTTTTATCTCATACTTCTTGCGATATCATGGCTTTGTGGCCCAAGTGGCCTAATGAAGAGCGTTTTGCGTCAGTGGTTCAATTCCCGGCAGATGCACTCTTAAGCCTCGCTTAACCCGTAAAGACGGAGGGTTGGACGTGAAACTAGCGAAGCCAACCCGTAAAAAACACCATTGCTACTGAAACTTTAAAAATCAAGCTTCACACTTCATGTTCCCCTTGGAACGCAAAAGAAATGAAAAGGAACTTCTTAAGGACTTACTGATACGATTCAGTGCTGCGGTTCCATTGACTGTTATTCCTGAACCCTAAAAAGAACAGGACATTTTACATATAAACACACTTCAAATATATTTTTAGAGGTTTAAAGATAAAAAGCAAAATAGTCGAAACATTCCCTTGTTAACTGAAGTGCTTAGAATATTGGAGTCTATGACAAACTACAATTAACTCTATCATGTTAAACTAAATGAAAAGAAAGTGATATGGAAGAATTCAAAGGGCATTGATCAAGCATGCTAACCTGATAGACTAGTTTGGTTGGCACAGTTTAGAAATAATTTAGGCGGATTTTATGCCTAACATTTACTAAATCTCTTAATTCTATCTAATCTACACAACCTACTTATTTAAAAGGTAACACACACACTTATCACCTGTTCTACTGAACACACCCTTTTATAATATGTAATTCAACGTCGTTATGAATGAAAACAAAGTATTTACTTGCAATCGGGGTCAGGCAAGCGATTATGTAAATTAATAGTTAAAATAAATATCACGAGTTTAATTAATTTTTCACCAAGTACCATATGAAACAACACCCTCCTCCAACCCATCCCCCGAATACATTTCAACTAGGAGTTCTCGATCTAGTGAATAAATCAGTCAGTGAAATTTCCAACGCAGTTTCTTTTTGGAAACACTATTTGCTTACTACCATAACACAAACTTCGCCACTCGATTCCTATGCTGCATACTCTAAATACTCCTGGACGGTGAAACACAAAATTCTACGGCTCTAACATTTATTTTTATTCCTTCAGGTTCCCAGTGGAACAAAGGGCTTCAAGCTACAGGCTTGAAGTGCGTCGTCGGCCGGGGATCGAACCCCAGACCATGTGCATGGTCGGCGAGAGTCCTAACCACTGTGCCACAGACGTAGCTTTAACATTTAAAAGACTGACTATTGAACCAAGAATATTCTTCCTTCTCAGGTTCTACATTTATATGGCCATAATAATTTTAAAAATTTTGTTATTAACAACAATAATGAATCAATATTATCGACAGGTGATTACATTTCAAGAGTATCAGTAAGGGATAATATACATTAATATAACACTTAAACTGAATATCAGATATACTGAGGAAGGTCATACAGAATTTATGGGTTCGACAGAAGGCCAGGGTAGCAATGGTGGCTGGTTGGACCCGTTTCTTCCACACCCAAAGCTCTGGTCGACTTAGGCAAATATCAATAGCCTCTTTTATTTGGAATGTTCGGTATCTAGAGTCTGTTTTGGTAATTTATTCGGTACCCGGTAGATGATAGAGATAGACTCTTCAATGCTAGTTAGCTTTCTGGCCTGTTTGGACGAAGCATGAATTTGAATAGAGCCAGAACGACAAATGTATCAGGATAATGTGAGCTCATGTTTTGATTTTTATTATTTCGTGGATTTTTCTTAATTGGTTACAACCTGAACAATACCAAAATTATAAACTAAATTAAAGATCTGAACATACTTTTCTACAATGATAAGTAATAATTGATTGGAACTAAGAGTAACATTGGTCAGGAATGATGTAGGTTGTTAAAAAGTGAGAAGAAATTGCATGATTAAGCTTGGAAACAAAAGGACAGAGTTCAATGGATGTTTTGTGGGTAGAAATAAAGTTTAACTAGAAAGACTATAAAAATTAATAGGTTGCGTAACCACAGAAAAAGACGTTTAAAAAAAAGAGGTAGGATGAGTCATGTTTAGACAGTATGTTCAGATCTTTATAATTTTGGTATTGATCAGGTTGTAGCCATCAGTTGAGAAGAATCCAAGAAATAATAAAAATGAAGGTATGAGCTCAGATTATCCTGGTACATTTGTCGTTCTTGCTTTATTCAATATAGAACTGTTGACATTAACATTTACCTTGCACAAACCAACGCCAATTATATACATTTCTGTACAACTTTGTGTTAATGAATAACCAATAAGATATGCTTCGGAAACAGTAGTTCCACGAATGTAAACAGTGAGGCAGGATAATAATAATAATGATAAAGGACACGTTCACACATGTTCGTCTACAAATGTACTTTTTTTATGTATTGTGAGATTATCACCTTTTTGAGAAAGTATTGATGTTCCTTAATCTGGCGACGCCGGTGTAATACAGTGTTACTGACAACAGTAAATAAACCCAGAAAGAATTTACACGTTCTATAGTTACAAATGCCTATAAATATCTAGATCACAGATGTTGGGCTACCTAAACACTTCCATCTATATATATCTGCATCGAATTTATCATGTTTTATTCGTCTCTATGCATGAAAATATGACGCCAAATCGTATTATTTACTCTCGCGAAGTTTTAAAATGTTTAAGAACACCAAGTGACTTCCAAGTTTCTAATAAAGGTGAGAAAAAGAATCACGGTGGTTGGCAATGTGCATTAAAACACACACCTATCCATTGTATTACCGTTCCTGTTATCATTGATGCCTACGCCGTTCTCTTTCCTACGACATTAGATATCTGCAATCTCTCTTATCCTCTGATACTTATCACAAGACGGCTATAATCACGCTACAAGAAACTTGGCTCACGAGCTTTATGATGATAATCTTGTCTTACTAAATGGCTGCATATTATTTAAACAAGATCGGCTTTGTTCCAAAAGGAAATGTGGAGGTAGGTTGCAACTTTTATTCATTCCAGTGGTTGATTCCAAATAATATTTGTTTCACATTCTTCAGTGACTTAATAAATTGTATTACAGTCAAATGTCGTCCCAAACACTTATGAAAATATAATCATATCTTTTGTCTCAAACATTTACGTTACCCCTGACATTTCCCTCTCAGATTTATCTAACTTCGCAGAGGAACTCTCTATCAATAGTCACTGAATATTTGACTTGTTGAGACTAGGTCAAGTAAAGATTGTCAACTTCGCTACTCGGCACACTACTCGAAAGATTTGGTCGTTTCTCTTCTCCTCATCTCAAAAAGCTACTTAAAGAAAAAGGACGGTTATACAAGTTTAAAGACAAATCAGGTCTCAAAAGGTTTAACATCTTGATCAAATCTGAAATTCAAAGTCTGAATAATACTTGTAACCGAAGACTTTTATCATGTAAAACTCCCTTAAGCATATGGAAATTTTTTAATGAAATTACTGGTGGTAGTAGTAGTAAGCAAAGTATTATTGTTCCCTCTTTTGATGTAAATACTCTTAACAAGTTTTTCATAGGCTGTTTTGCTCACGCTATCATTCCAAATGTTAGTAACTTTCATGGTTTTAATACTCTTGATGTTCTCAAATCTTTAAAACCTCCCTTAAAGTCTACTTGCTGCTCTTCTCAGAAGAAGTGCTGACACTTTATTCTGTCCCCTTACAAACAATTTCAATGCTTCTTTTGCTAGTAATGTTGTACCCGTAGCACGGAAAGACATTAAAATTATCCCGCTGACCAAATCATTTTCTGGTATTAATATTAGGTTTACATCTATTGCAATTACTTCTCCGTTTCTGAAATTAATGGATAAATTACCTTAACATAAACTTGAAAAGTTTTAATGACCCTAAAAAGCTTGCATATAAACAGGGCAGGAGTATTTTAGATGCTGCTGTTGTCTTACACCAAGATATTGTTTCCTGTTTGGACAAAGGAGCCAAATATGTCCAGTGTACCTCCCTGAACTTCACATCTGCTTTTGACTCTGTACCCAGCCGAGATGCCTTTTGTTAAATAAGCTTTCCCTGACACAGACCAAGTCCTGGGCTGTTAACTGGTTGCATTCTTGTTTCTCTAACAGAACACAGTATACTGTATATAAGGGCAAATCTTTCTCTGCCCCGTCTACTGAAGCTGAAGTTCCTCAAGGTGCTGTTATCTCTCCTCTTCTTTCTTCCTACATGACTTGTGTCTTTCGCTGATGACCTGACTGTCTTCTTGCCAGTTACATCACAATCTGACTGTTCCAAACTTAATAGATTTTTGTTGGACGCAAGCCATTAGTCCAAGTTAAATGGTCTTACCTTCAATCCTTCTAAATGTCAGACAGTTAACTTCACCCTCAGGCACAAAAGTGATTCACAAGAACAGGTCAGTTCACGAGATGCTTGTAGTATAGAGGGCACTGAAATATAAACTAAGTCAAGCATTAGATACCTTGGAATAGTTCTATCCTTTGATCTTTCTTGGTCATTCCATATCTTGCTGATTTCTAAGAAAATGTGCCCCCTAACCTACTACATTAAGAAGTTAAGAAAATCGGGTAGATAACACTCAATCTCTACTTTCACAGTGTGTTAACTCTTCTATCTTACCTGTTCTTCATTATTGCTCCCCCCCACTTAGTCTTTCCTGGGCTACTCAAAAATGGCTATGTCGTATTGCGAAGAATATTAAAGGTTGTCAGTAAGGCAAGTAGTGTGCCACTAAGTCAGCTCGTTACTACTGAAGTCGACAGACACCTTAACTCATGTGAGAAATGGTCTAAATCTATTTTGTCTGACTCTCAACACCCTCTCTATTCACAACTCTACCCCCTTGCATCTCATCAGGTAAGCTAGAAGTCATTACAAAAGATAATATACTTGCAAAACCAAGTATAGAAAATTAACGATACTCAATTTGGCCCGCCAGCGTTCTGTGTGATAGAGACAGAGTTAAGCGTTAAACTTACGACTTGCTGTGTAATTAGCTAAATAATTAGTTCTTTTATGTTCTCTGTATCATAAGTACTGTTTCGGAATACAGCAAATTATTTTTATTATCTTGGAAGAAAGGGAGAATCGAGTTTGAATGAAACAATAAATTACTTAGCGTAATCTCAGCACGTTTGGTGAATATAAATAAAACATTTCCCAGAACTACGCTGCACAAACCAGTCTTTTCAATAAAAATAGCTGAGTAATTCCTTCCGTGAATTTTAGTTCCAGATTACTACCAGAAACAAAACAAATATTTCAACAAGCAGTTTAAACACCCATTTTCAAGTAAACTACCGTTTAGCAAGTTAGCCTACCTGTTGTCTAGCTGCATCCAACGACCAAGATTTAACATAATCCAAGAGATGTTTAGCATCCGCACTTCGATTTGATACCTCAGGTGTTGATGATACCACCTGAGACCTGAGATGCTGAACTACGGGGAGATTCGCATCGCCAGAAAAATTATATTCTTCAGTATCAGCAGGTAGGTGAGATAAAACGCCATCAGTATTCATGATGGATGGATGCATAAATCTGTATGTTGATGGAGGATTAGTTGAAGTTGCAATTGAATGGCCGTACAAAGTGACATCGATAGGCGGTCGAAATGTACACTCAGTAGGATATTGTAATGGTTCACTTTCTCGAAAGATAGTCTGTGTTTCGGCAAACTGTGTTTTCATTAGTTGCTTTTGAGTATTATCACTATTCAGCAGACTTAAGTGGTTAGGTATAGATGGTTCTGGAAAGTTTATGTACGGCGGTAGACCTAAAATGTGGAGGTATGAATAGAGAGGTGAAAACACAACTAAGTACAGAGACAATGGCTTATTGACAACGCCAAAAAACTCGTTGTGATTAGTCTTGTAATTATCTCAAGAATTACACGTAGGCACTAACTTCTAGGGTGACTGACTTAACACATACGGCTTTTAACTATGCAGTTTGTACCAAGAAATAGTGACTGAAAATCTAACAGTGACTTGAAGGATAATTTACTCATATAAGCAATTGACGCCGTGAGTCGGTGATTCAATGGCAGAATGCTTACCAACCAAGTGGGAGGTACAAGTTCAATTCCCGGCCGACTTCGTGGTTAGAGTTCTCGGGACGGTAAAAACTGATGGCTGGAGAAAATTTGTGATATGGCTGGCTCAAAATCGTTCTCAATGGCTGGCAGATGCATCCACTCTTTACGACTCATAATATCCGGTGAACTATATTGTTCTTCGATATTACTATTCTTCCTACCTCATATCTCTGCTTACTGTCTCTTTTTGCATTTCTTTTTACTTTCTTCTCTTGCTTTGCGTGCTGAGTGAAGTGTGGTGACTCGAACTGCTGCACATCGGTGCAAAGTTCCACGTTGAAACCAGTCAGTCAGTCCCGGCCAACGCACTTCTATATTTCATCCGGTTTATTAAGCCCTGTAAGGGAAGGTTGCACGTGAGGCTAGCAACCCTACCACATAAACAACACCATCACAAATGAAAATTTAAAGCTCGAAGCCCTATGTTCTACTCGAAACGGAAGGATTTATAAAAACTTTTGAGACCATCCGTGCAGCAGATAGTGAATCGACTATTGGCGCCATTAGATACTCGGCACAAGATGGTAGTGGGGCTCTAGTCAAGCAAACTAGCTAGACTGTTTGGAAGACTGACAGCGTCCCACCCATGTGAAAAGAGACCAACCCTGCATCTATCTTTAAAAAGAATAACTCAAGAGGTATTTAACGATCTTAGGATAGTAAAAGTAATCTTAAAATTCAGACTCAAAAAAACAAGTTACTTCACTGAGTTGCAAGTTGCATCTGTTTAGAAAGTAGCTATAATGCGATCCAAGACACACGTTTCTTGAAATATAATAGAAATATTCCTCAAAGGAACATATAACTTGCAAACAACACGAACTTATTGTACAAGTTGTATGTGGTAACGGGATTAAAAGTAAGAGATTAGGGAGCTCTAGAACTACTCATCGCAAAAATATATCTGCAATTTTAAGGAAACCTTTCATTCTTCGACACTGAAGTCTGCATCATTTAGTGCCCAATCACTACGCTATTCAAACTAAAACTGATTCCCTGTACGACCAAGTGATATACATAATCGGTAGCTATGTGGCAAGCAATGTAGCAGCAATATGGAACTGATATTTGTGTCCACAGAATATGAGAAGATAGAGTAAACAATCATTATTGATAAGAACTGGATTAAATTAACAAACATCCTGTAGCAATCAACTGAAGTGCGACAAACTAAATATTAAAGCAAATATCTTTAGAAGTAGGTTACTAGAGGCAAAACGAAAGATGCAAAGCTTTAACCTTTATTTTAGAATTTACAAAAAGCGACACCAGATGCTGCCTAAATACTGGTACTGATTGTCTGTACTGTCCAACCTTTTTAAAATTCTGATGAAATAATATATACAAGTAATTGCCAGTTAAAAAGGAAACCTCGGTTCACTTACTTGGATTTTCTTGTTGTGAACTGAGGAAACGGAAATCCGGTTTAGAGTATAGACTAAGTCTCTGTAGTAACTCTTGGTCTGAACTGAAAACTTCTTTCCCACTTAATAAATCAGCGAATTCAACCTCTGATTGATGTATCCTACTTGTAGGAGAGACAACATCACTCGTGTTGCGGAGCGAAAGAGACTGAATTGAAAACATTTTAAAAAAAAACATTGATTAACTACACAATCATATTCCCAATAGTCATAGATCAAACGATTAATTAGAAATTTCAGTACAATTCAATTAAACAAGTTTACTATAAAATCTACGTAGGTGCATTGGCTACGTACCACAATTAACAACAGTGTTCGATTTGCTCCTCCCCTTGTAGGAAATACTACTCACTTCTTTTACATGCTATAAATTCCAAGAAAAATAGAAGAATGAATGCAAAAGCAACCACCAATATTACATGTAGGTTGGTGTGTGTGTGAATTATATTCATTTATCCGTAAGAGTATTATTCTAAACTAAATGTTTTAAGTGTACTTGGGAATTTTGATTAAAGGAATAGTGTCTAGTTAAAAAGTCCGTAAAAATACATTACTCTTTTACAAATAAGGTTTCTATAGTTACAGACAACAGATTGGATCTATAAGTTAACTATCTGTCTTCATTTAAAAGTGTAGACACTGCCAAACGTCTGATGAAATCTATGATGACAAAGCACAATACAATCCATTATGGAGAGTGAGGCTAACAAGTTACACAACAGCAGTCATAGTGTGAAAGTTGGATTAGCAAAGACATTATTACATTCACACTGTTGCAGTATGTGCAATCCCGAAAATTAACTAGAGAGGAGCAAATCATTGAGAGGTTTATTAATTTCAACTGACTGAGTTATAAGAGATCGTCATGTCAACACTTTATTTAACCCTAAAGTTAGCTGAAGTGGAATGCAGTTACAATAAACTTTAGGCATTGTCAGACTAAGACAAAATATTAATCCATAAGATCCTCATCTATTGATGGAAGTGATTTAGAAACGTGCACACTTCTTAGTCAGTATCTGTTAGACAAGAGGAACTATTGTTTTGAAAATTCGGATGGGGCTCAAAAATGATTGCTATTCATTGTACTGTATTCATGTAGTGGGACTTCCACGTAATCCTCTGGTTCTGATCTTCTTACATGAATTTTGTTAGCCTGTAGCAATTCGAAATTGTCTGTTACACTAGACTACACATAGTATGAAAAACACCTACTTTATGAATATGGAGTGGAATGGTTGAATATGCCGACTAGTCCACTTATTATGGGAGCTACGTCAACTCTAATAGACAAGTCACTGATTATTTCTCAGTGTGAATGATAGTGCTCACTTTGCATTCTCCGACATGCGCACTCTTCGAGGTGGGCTTCTATATCTGACTGCTTATCTAGACGCATGTATACAGCACAGCAGTTAGTGATATTTTAATTCATTTTTGCAAAATAAGGCCACTAGAAGTGAATGTAAACTGATTACATTGACTGTGCGTAACTTCATCATACACTCCCACTGGACTGACCAACGTGGTAAGCACTTGGGTTAAGCGCAAATTTAAGACAAGAAGGTTAGTTGACGGGAATGTGAGGCTCTAGTGGACCAAGTGTTACGCATGGTGAACCACAACCTTCATTGACAGCGTCAGTGAAGCAGAATTAGGTTTGAAAAAAAAAGTATGGAGTCGTCAGACTTAAACATGATATCAACCTATGAAGTCATTAACTGACGGCCTGAACCACGCTCAAGAAGATGCCGCTGAATGGAGATCTATTGTGAGATAGATGCACATCGGCTACAATGGCTCGAAGACACTCACTCCTTGTCAATTTAACTTATTTTCTCAGCCGTGCCTACAAGAATACCATTAAGTTCCCACTTCATGCTTTTGCGAGATGTGACAAATTGGTCAGGTGCTGATTAGTGTAATTTAACCTAAATATGTATGCATTACTTTTAGCTGAGACAAATGTTGGAGAGCTACAAAAATTTCCTCAGAATTATATTTTGATAGAAATCCTACGAAAGTTAAGGGTCTACTTCGGCAATGCAGCGACATGAAGAACATAAATCCGCAAAACTGTGCTTAAGCCAGTTATTCCTGTGTACTCAACAGCATACGACAGGCTTGTCCAGATAAATTATTTATTATCTTTCAAATGTAGACGTGACAAAACTTTCTAAAGCAATTCCGTATTTCCCTCCTATCAACAGTCCCTTCCTTTGGAAACAGAAAGAGTCACTAATAAAATCTTGAAATTATCCCAAGAATTTTCACTTAAAGCATTAAAAGATTTATTTTGCATTCTTTTCTTCCTAACAATTTCTGATTTACGGGTAATTCAAGATGTGCTTATTATTTAGAACTAGTAAATGTCAGAACGCAGTGCAAATAAATCACAATTTAACTAGGGTCATCGAAGTGAATCCCTATATATTCTGGCCAGAAATTTATTTTTCACTAAAGTTAGCAAGGTTATAAGAAGTCGCCATTTTTGAAAGGCAATTAAAAACAATTAAAGTGTACACCCTACGTTTTTTTCACCCTTCGCCTTAAGATTTGAGATTCCAGATGAATAGCCCAAAGAAAAAGATTTATCCAACAAATTCTTCTTAATGGATTCCACGCGGCTTCGGCGACGAGCATTCTGACTATCGAAGTCATAAGAGGTGCGAATTAACTCATCTTCACTAACCAAATAGAGTAGGGATAAAACAAGTTACTTGTCACTGAAATTTCGGCAACTGTAACCACAACCTAAGGCTTCCGGTGCATCGAAAAACTCGTCTTCTTCTGAACTCATCTAACATATGTTAATCCGGAGACGGCGCTAACTACAGCCAAATGACCCCGGCGAAGGTCAACTGATCAAGTATCCAATATCCTTTTAACGTGATACAGACGAAGATCTATTCCATTTCTATTCACGCCTTCCGTTAAAGGAAGGATTTTTAGACTCTGGACCCAGCTGGGCATTTTTTGAAAAATATGTGATTGCTGTTAGGACCGAGAGTAATAGACAATACTGGCAAATATGTACCGAGCACGCAATTATTATTCAGATTTCAGATTTATTGGTTGAGGATAGAAGGCTTGGAGCCTTTTCTAGTAAATTTCTGTGGTTGTCCAAACCCTTCTTGAACGAATCAGTTGAGGTTGCAGACACCACTTCTTCTAGGAGTCGGTTCCAAGAGTTTATGACTCGGTGTGAGAACCAGTACTCAACAGCAATATGATTTCTTCTTGGCTTTTGAACTCTCCTACTATGTCCTCTAAGGTGTTCCGGCCTGATGGGAAGGAAAAGAGAGAATAGGTCAGGTCCGTAGTCATTATTTAAAATTTTAAACATTGTGATTAAATCTCCTCTCTGCCTACGGTATGACAAGGAGAAGAGATTTAAACTGTCTAGTCTTTCCTCGTATGATAAATTAGTCATTCCGAGAGCCATACATGTTGCCTTCCTTTGGACCCTTTCTAGAATGTGTGAGACCCCTTTTAGACAAGGGCTGGCGGCCTGGATGCAGTTTTCCAGTCTTCACCTCACCAGAGATGTATATAAGGAGGTGAACATATCTCTGGTGATTCTAGTGAAGGCTCTGCGAATTGCCCATAATGACCTGAAACTACGTGCAGCCACCGCGCGACAGTGTGCTGTAGTTCTTAAGTCTTGGCTAACTATGACACCTAAGTCCAAGTGAGTCTGAACTGATGGAAGTGTTATTCCCTCTAGTTCGTAGGAGCTCGTGCTTGCTTGTCCAATGTGCATGGTTGCACACTTTGCCACATTTATCGGGAGCATCCATTCTATGGACCACTCTGAAAATTTGTTGAGGTCCTCTTGCAACGTGGACGTGTCACTGTTGCCCTTCTGCTCTCTCCAAATTTTTAAGTCATCTGCGTATAAGACCATAGGGGAATCGGTAAGCAGAGATAACTCATTGATATACAAAATAAATAGGAGAGGTCCGAGTACCGTGCCTTGTGGCACTCCGCTGCGTACTGCTGTCCAAGAGGAGAGTTTCGAGTTGATCCTAACCCTCTGCCTCCCATCTCTGAGGTATTCCCTGAGCCAGTTTAGTAAGCTGCCTTTGATACCAAGACTTTCCAACTTCATGAGTAGTCTTTTGTGGGGTACTTTATCAAAGGCTTTGCTGAAGTCTACGAAGACGACGTCAACGGGTCTTCTGTTGTCCCTGGATTTGACCCAGCTTTCTCTTGCAGTGAGAAGATTTGACAGACATGAGAGGTTCCTTCGGAAGCCATGCTGTGCTCTTGATAATAAGCTTCTATTTTCTAGGTATGTCATGATGCTTTTCTTGATGATTCTTTCCAGTGTCTGGTGAGACTGATAGGCCTGTAATTTGAAGGGCTTTGTCTTGATCTTCCGTTGTGGATGGGGGTTACTATGGCGTCTTTCCAGTCACGCGGTAACACTCCATTTAGGAGAAAAAGCTTGAAGATCGTAGTCAAAGGGCCGGCTATGTGGGCTGATAGCTCCTTGAGAGGCCTTGGATGAAGATTATCAGGACCCATTGATTTCCCTGTATCTAGTTTCCTTAGGCAGTTGAGCATGATGCCTTGGTCGATGTCAACGGAATCTATCCCATGTTCTTCTGATGCAGCCAGAGCTGATCCTATAGGCAGTGACGACTCCTGAGTGAAGACTTGGGAGAAGTAGTTTGCCATTGCTTCTGCTTTTTCTTGATCTTCTTCGATTGTATCATTGTCAATAGTCAGGTTTCGGACACCACTGAATTTTTTAATTCCTGAAGTTCATGTACGAGAAAATTTTCTTCGGTTGTGCCTTTGCATTTTGAGCCAGGTGTGCTTCGAACTTCATCCTTGATAGGCGGATTTCTGCATTAGCTTTATTTCTGGCAGCGTTATATAATTGCCTGGTCTCAGAAGTCTCAAGTGTGGCAAACAAGTTCCAACATTTGTGTTTACGCCTGAGTAACTTACGAATCTCTCGGTTTATTCAAGGAAGGCGATGTTTCCGACCTTTTGGGATAGACCAAGGGATGAAAGGTTCAGTTACTTGGGCGTAAAGTTGTTTAAATTGGTTCCATGCGGCTTCTACTTGAGACTCTGGGTTGATGTACCAGTTTACTGAGTTGGCTGCTGAGACGATTGCATTTATATCAGCTTTCCGAACGTTTGGTCGAGCTGGGGTTTTGGCCCTTGCTGGCGTTACCGTGAACTTGAAAGTGAGCACAGCATGGTCACTTCTTCCTAAAGGAGGAAGATGTTGTGTGAGATCCACATCCTCACCGTGGGAGAACACTAAGTCCAGCGTTGAGGAGGGGTGCTGTGAGTCATAGCGCGTGGGCTTAATGATATGTTGGACTAGGGCTAACGATATACTAGATTCCAGTAGTTTATGATCAAAGGAGTCGACTGAAGATAGAGTTGTTAGGCTCGTCCAGTCAACTGTTGGGGCGTTGAAGTAGCCAACTACGAGACTTCAACATTTCGAGGTTCAGGAGCCTAGCTTCTCTATCAGGAAGTCATCTGCACTGCAGTCAGGACTGCGGTACATAGCAATGAGGTCAATGTCTTGGCCTATGCATTTAAGTCTACAGCGTAGAAGTTCGCACGACTCACTTTCGCGAGCGAGTGCTTCGATACTACGCACGGTTAAGCATTTCTTGAAGTTGATGACCACGCCATCTTATTCGCGGTTTAGTCGGTCCACTCTATGCACTTCGAAGTTTGGCAGGTGAACTTCGTTGTCAGTGACATCGGGTGTGAGCCATGTGTCTGTGACAATAATTACATCCGGGTTTCCGGAGTCTGTCATGTTAACCAGCTCAGTCCGTTTATTTAACAGGCTGCGGGCGTTTGTGTAGCAAACTGTCAATTCAGTTTGGTGCTTCCCCGGCCTACCCACAGAGGTTTCGGGTACATTAAACTGCGAACTTGGACAACCCGAAAACCCTTAATCTTAAGGTTCTTTTCGCCGTTTCAGCATTTTTCGCTTAATTCTAGGGCCGCAGACTGTCTTTTGACACGGTCTGCTAGGCCTAAGTCGGCGCGGACATATATGCCTGATCCTTTGAGAATATGAGAGTTGCTTAGAATAGCATCCCTCTCTTCTTTCGAGTTTAGCACGACTTTGAGGAGACGTACAGGCTGACTTACTGTAGGGTCAGGCTTTTGGCCTATTCTATATACGCTGTTTATAGTAATGCCTGGTACTGTTTGTGGCAGTAGCTTGTGTAAAAGGGGCTTAACCAAGTTAACGTCATGCTCGAATCTAGTCTTGGGATCGGGAGCCAGTGACTCTTCCACTTTGTGGAGAATGAGCGACCTGTCAGAGAGATCAGGTTTGCTTGCCGTGGCTTTCTTGCTCCGCGGCGTAAGTGTGTTTCTGTCCTTCGTGGGCGGTGTAGCCAATGTGTTATCCTTATCTCGCTTTTTGCGAGAGACTACGCTACGCCATTCATTGGCGTTCTCCTCACTAATCGTAGTAGGATTTATCTGCGTGCTATCCACAGGTGTGGATGAGGCTTGATCCACTAGTCCCCGGGCGACTTGAGCTGCACGTTTTCGACCCCTGGTACGCCTCTTCTTCGTGGCAGTCTTTCCATTACTGTCACTGGAGGGCTTATCCAGTGTCGTGGGGGCAGCCTGGGTGTCTGGAATGTGGTGGGTGCTCTTCTGTGCTGAAGGGCACTCACTTATTGACAGAGACGCATCAGGGACATGTGCTGTTTTGTCGATGATAGTCACGTCATCGTTGTCTGAGCAACAGTCAGTGTTCTCCTCTAGTGGAGGACGCTTGCAGTCCATGAGCTTTAAAGCCCCACTGAGAGTGGCAATGGCTTCTGTAATACGGAATTTACTAGTGCTACAACAGTCATTGCACAACCAGTTTGCTAGAGGTTTGCAGCAGCGTTTTTATGCTGCAGGAGTTAGGTTTGTGCACATACTATGAAATCATCTCCTGCAGTTATCACACTGCATTCCCTCATCCACTGTGAATTGGCACATAACCCTTCCGCAGCGTTTTCTTTTGATGGGCATGCTGTCTAGAGCGAACTGGGGAAGAAATTTAAATATGACTTTAAATGTATATAGACCTCTATAAATCAGTGATAAAAAGCCAACGAGTGCACAAAAATAGATGTTTGTAACTTTTAAGTTATAAGATACAACTTCCTATAATTTAAATAGACTCAGATCTGAAAGTAAACTAACTTTGATCAGAATAAACTGATTTAAAGTTATTCTGTGGACTTTTGGAGCGTATAACACAACAAAAGCCAAAACTAAACAAGAGCGTGTAAAATTCACTCCATTTTCAAAGCTCTCTTGAGTTCACAGTGGAACATATAACTTCAGCATCACATCCTCACCTTGTCCTATCTTCTGTTGTCTTCTTCATCTGGGTCCACATTTGCTCATAACCTCTCATCTCCTCTCCACACGATCTTCTACTTGTCACCCACGCACTAACGACCCACTCGTCGCATAGCATTTGGATTCTACTCGATCGATAGCCTTCATTTTCCCATTCATATTTGTTGAGAGATCGGTTCTTGGCTGTTTGGTTACAAGGCAGACTTTCATGTTACCAATCCTTTCTGGACGGCCAGTCTTCAGTATGGAGCCAGCGAGGAGGGCAGCTGTTAATGAAAGTATACAACCCGTAGGCAATATTTCATGAGACGCAGTGAGAGCGTCTGACCCGAGTGAGTTTTCCGTTATGGATCACCTGACATGTGCCATTGTCATATAGCTATTAAATAAGGTTGATAAAGACTTGGGCAGTGTTCGCCGTAGTGTTGATGTAGTTTCCAAATTAATTCTCGGTCAACACTGTCTCTGGAAGGCCCTTTCGTA